TAACGATGTAGGGATTATCCTGGAATCAAACTTGGATTATTTCTTTTTGTCCCGTGGAGAAACTCAGTCGCTCGAGGCAAAACTTTTTTACTTCGGTTTTTGTTTTATTTCGTTTTTTTCAAAGCAACTCAAGTTGTAATCGACCTTTGCGAAACAGTTAAGATAATTTAACGGCAGTTTGGTGCACCAACTTGTATTTTTTATTACTGTCGTCTTCGGAGAGTCGGTCTGCAACGGGAGCCTTTCCACACCTTAGGAATTTTACGAGGCTAGAAAAGTGTTTGTGAAGAGACCGTAAACGCGTCGGACGGATAGCCATTCAGCTAACTGTAGCTGCACACCCGCTGTTGTTTTTACACTTTTATCGCCAAAAGAAGACAAGAACGATGTTTTAACGTAGCACCCAAATTTGCTGTGATGGTTTCGAAGCGTAGTTAGCGTAGTATTGGCTTTTTATATAAATTCGTTTAAAGGTTTTTATTGTTTTTAACCAAGTAAAGTTGGGAGTAAGTTGTTAGCAGTTAGCGGCTAACAGCATAAAGATGCCACAGCTGAGCGGCGAAGACTTGGGAGCGAACGACGAGCTCATCCCTTTCCAGGATGAAGGGGAGCAGGAGGAAGAGAAAAGGAGCGTCTCGGCTCACAGAGATCTGGACGATGTCAAGTCCTCCCTAGTCAACGAGTCGGAGACCATCAGCAGCTCCGACTCAGAGGTGCGTTCACTGACTTTTTGTAACTTCGATTAATCAAATACTGTAGTTGACTTATCCATGCAAAGATAACTTTAAATGTCAATGACAATTGTTTATTTAAGTTGTAGTTCGAAAGCTTACATTGCTTAGTTCAAATACAACACGTTATTTATCGTTATTAACATTTTTTTATTTAGCTTTTTTGATAGATGTATCGGCAAGTTTGATTAATATTCAATATAAATAGTATAATATAATACCCTCTCACCAAAATGTATTTTTGTCGAATGGAAATGATAAATTGTATTACATTGTATTTCTGACATTTAGGAATTATTAATTATTTTACATGGACAAAATCAATGAGAATGTAAGCCTGGTGGAAATAAATTGGTCATGTACTGTAAACACGAAATCAGAAAAACTGAAAAATTCATATTATTTGCACCATCTTTATATTGTAGTGTAAACATGACATTGATTAATGTTTTTATTGTCAATCTCTTGGTTTTCAAATAACTTAGGATATGATGTTTAAGAACAAAGATGTGAGTTTGTTTACATCTGAGGTGGATTCTTATTTCCAGTTAAGTCACCAACACACATGCATGTCAATTAAGTCAGATTATGAATTCATTTTTAGTTATTCTCTCATGTGAACAGTGGAACTGTATTTTCAGTTGTGAAGATTGTTTTCAGACAGTTTGTCAATTCTCACCCTTTGATGGAAATCGTATCCACTTTTTCAATTCTTGTAATCATGAAAAAAGACATTTGAGTACATTTTGGGGAAACCCACACTAGAAAAAAAATCTAGAAAAACAGAAGCCAACACTGTATTTGATTGACAGCTTATCCTGTCCAGCAGTAGAATGGCAAAATACATGTTTAAAAAAAGACATGGGTCTGGTCAAAGAGCTGAGGTTATTTCTGTTATAAATTTACAATGCTCAGCGGAATATATTTTTAATATTTGACTGTTTCTCTACATCCTTACAGGCAGACCGGCGACCCAAGCCCCGTTTGGACCTGGAGAACCGGGCCAGACACAGTCAGCTGTTTGAAGAATGTAATTCTATTAATTTATTGGTCTAGTTGTATTGTTGAATCGCTATTCCAATTTTCCTATACATCAGCTTCAGACTAACACACTTGTTGCTGGGTTTGTGTGTGTGTCAGCTCTGAGGAGGCAGCAGGATGGCAGTCTCTTCCAACCACCGTATGTTGGATATCCCTTCTTCATGTTCCCAGACCTGGGGAACCTCTGTAATCCTTACTTCGCCAATGGACCACAAATGGTAAGTGACGCTAAAATTACATTCCAGCATCAGGATTTTTATCCAACAGATAGATTTGCCTTGTTGTATTGCTTAGAAATATAGACGCACCGACCAGACCAGAGATCAGAATTAGGTGTTCAACATGATCAACCCTGAACAGTGTACACATATTAGTACACATATTAGTACACATATTTTCAGTTTTGCGTGTCCATCAGGTTGACAAGGCAGACATGATTTTGTTTGTCAGAAAATTACTATTAATGCTCAGGAACCATCACTCTGTTCCTGCATGGGTTGTCAGTTCAAATCCGTCTTGTTTTCTCAAATCACTCACTGAACTTATTGTTATTAATGTTTGCTCTTGGATTGTGTTTAGTTTTGTAATTATTGGACTTTTTTACGTGGGGAAAACAGAAGTCAGGCATTGTTTCAAGTTCTTTAAGTCACTTGGAAATATCATAAACTGCAGATACTTTCCTTTGTTGTGCAGACCCATTGAACAAGGTTGTATTGGTCAATGAGTTGAGTGTACAGGAACCATTTCAGTCGGCACTAAATTCTAAAAATTGTTGAAGAAACAACGTGTGACTGAATCAAGTTTTTGAACTTGATGCATCTCTACTAACAAGTTTGTTAAAAGTGCCCCATTGTGAAATTACATTTAATCATGGGGTGGTCTATGGCTGGTTGTTTATTATTTGTTTCAGTAGATTGGTAGAGGAATGTTTACTTCTGTATTCATTTGCCTTTGTCTGTTGTTGAAGCCGAAATGAGTCTTAAAGTAAGAAAAACGTTCTGTGATGAGAAGATATGTAATGGTTTGAAAACAAAGTTTGTTTCACCAATTTTTTAAGAAATTATTTTTTAAAAATTCAGCAATACTTAAAAACTGCAGGTCTACTTTATCCTCCATAAACAGCTGTGATCAGAATTAGGGCGTTTCCTTTTTTCCTACAATCAAGTTTGAATGGATTTTATGTGACATCCTTTTTTATGAGATACTCAGAGCTTTTACTACCTGGCTGGCTGCCTGTTAAAGCAGAATGTGCTGAAGTGAGTTTGCAGTCAAGCAAGGTCAACAATCGTTATACTGTCTTCTTGGCTGGATCCAGAGTATTCATACAAAAGTTGTGGTGCAAAACCCCACAAGGGAAGGTTTTTTAGGTTTTATAGTTAAGAACCCAAATGAAGCGAAATTTTTTTTTCCAGATCAGAGTAAAAGCATCACATTGCCTTTTAAATGTTGGGTCAAAAGGGAGTTGAATCGGACGTAGGGTTAAATAGTGCCTACGTTTTGACCCTGAACTTCACATATAAAGTCATTCATAGATGAAAATCTATGAAATATTTTTGTGCATGTGTGTGAGAGTTGAAGTTAAATCCAAGCTCATGAAATAATGTAATCAAAAGTCACTTCATGTCAGATGTCACAGTCAATATTGTAGCAATGATACAGGACATATATTCTTATCTGGAGTCTAGGTTGTTGGTTTAACGCAAATGTAAGGACTAATAATCCTGCTTATTATGCTAATGACTTGCTGCTACACCTACTTCTTTTCTGCTCTGACCAGAAATCAGAGTTTAATCAAGTTGGAATTTCAGTTTAAGCTCAGCAGTGAAAACAGTCATTTTGTCAAAAAAAAAAAACTCTGACTTTGTCAGAAACGTAGTTTTAAAGTCTAAAGAGTATACAGGAGTTTACATAAGTGGGATAAGCACTCATGGATTAACAATGGAAACGAAATATGTGAAACCATGGAATTGGTGTCCAGTAGATTGAAATAGTAGTCACTCAGGAGTAAGACTTTGTCTGGGAACTATCTCTGTGTGTGTGTGTGTGTGTGTGTGTGTGTTGGACAGGCCTGGACACAGTCTGTCAGGAATGAGATCTGATCATCACTGACAGGCTGAAATATCATGTGTAAAATACACATGGTGGTTTAGATTTCTGCTGTTTTTCTCCCTGCTGTTGAATCAGGTAATAAACTGTTGACAGTTAATCATTTATAGTAAAAAAACCTACGTGCACACACACGTTGTTTTTCTAACTTCAACATTAATGACACATTTGTCACCTGACTACCAGTCGGGGGGAAAAAACACAGAAACTGTGTTTTTAAACAATAAGTACGTGACTTGTGTTAACTTGTCTGGCTGAAAAGAGCGCCCTCTCTGGAAAACACAGGCATTATGTTTCTCTTTCCTCCTCTGGTTTGTTTTTATAAGTGTTTCCTCTGTGGATTAAAAACCCTAGACTAATCCCATAAACCCACTCCCACAAACACCTGCATTCCACAGCTTTGTGATAGACACACACACACACACACACACACACAGGCAGTAACAAACAGACTCCTCCTCCCTCTTTAGAGCCCATTGTTGTCATTAGGAGTCTGAATAGTCCTAATGCATGGCTCCACAGGGGGCATCGTTACACCTCATTAGAATTAACAAACTACCCTCTCCTCATTGACATCAGACTGATCTCTACAGACGCACTGATTGCAAATTTTGGTCCAATTATTGCGTCTGATATTTTTCTGTCACTTGCCGATACTAAGTCGAACCTAAATTCCATTAGATGACAGCGTGCCTGTGTTTTATCCCCTGCTTCACTCATCATGGGCTGCAGTGATTGTTTCCTGATGCCATGTTAGATCCTTAACTCGCTATCATATGAGGCTGAGTGAAAGAATTTAAGATGGAATTTATCAGGTAAGCGATAACCAGGATTGGGCCAGCCTGTAGTTTCCTACATGCAGATAAAAATGACCAGCACCAGTTTTCTACTGTTTCTCCTTACCCAGAATACAGAACTGCTCCATCCTCCTTCCACCGACAGATTAAACTGTTCAGCTCAGATTGTGAAGTGAGCCTTACTACGCACCGGGGTAAATGTTTTTGTTGTTGCCCCAAAAAAACCCCAGAAAATAAAAATAGTTGTCGTGGCGTCAGATTGTGACCAGAGCAGCCAGTTGAAAGTGGAGTCATTTTAAGTGGGTGAACTGCTGAGTCCGTTCATTTAGGTGCCGAACTCATACCTCTGGTACTTGGTACACGTCTCACACTTTTACAGCCTTTGTGTTAATTTAATCACACGATCGTCACCAAACCATGAATAAAACTGCATGCTGGTGTGTAGTCATTTTTTGTGTGTGTGTGCGTATTGATTTTCCTGATATTTCCAACAGCTGGATCCAGTTAGTGCTCTGAGCCTCAGCTTCCTCAGGCCTCTGAATGTGGGACGAGATTAAGCTCTGTTTGTGTTTCTGAGGAGCTCTGTGTGTCTGTGTGTGTGTGCGCGCGCACATGTGTTAGCTGAATCAGATGACTATCGGATGACCGTCATGTCAACTTTTTTTCCCTTTTTTTTTAAACTGAGGAACTGGGGCCAGGTTTGCTCAGTTTGAGGAAGTTGAAGTGAATGAATTTGAACTCTGGTTTCATATGAATGTTTTTTTTTTATCACTGAAGTGCAGCAACAGTGAAACTGTGCTGTTTATTGGACTCAGGCAGCAGAGAATGCAGGATCTTTATAATATGACCATCTGTTGCTCTTGATGGTCAACCAAGAAGTTGAAGCAGCGTCAACGATGGTGACGTCACACCACCATCGTTGGTTATACGTTTAGATTTATGTTTTCAAATGTAATGGTTGCTGGTTTGATCGTCAGTCTTTTTGTATGGGGGGGAGGAGGGGGTTGTACAGTTATACATCCTAGTATGAAGTGAGTCTGACTAGTTGATTGTCTGGGACTTGTGCTGAAGACCAACATATCGACAGGGCAATGTTTGCTCATGTTATAAATTCAATGAGTCGCTGCCTCTCTTTGCACTGGTCTGACTGGATGGTTGACTTTTTACGATAAATAAATAAAAGTTATCAAAGCCTGCAGCTGGAACAGACAATTTTAGTTTTAACATTTAATAATCTGTCAGCAATGTTTGTGATTGATGACTTTGCCAATACGTCTGTCAGTGTTAAAAACCCATTATACTGTTAATGAACTTTCACTTATCATATCCAACATGTGTTCATCATTTTGTGTTACAGCCCTGGGTGAGTTTCCATTCACAGTCACTGGACTATTAAACAATGACCTTAAACCAGACCTGGGCAAACTACGGTCCGAGGGCCGGATGTGGCTCATTTGGCATTTTACTCCGGCCTGCCAAACTTCTCCAAATTATACTATTAATATATATTATCATGATACTTCAGCCTTTTCCCTGCAATGTCCGCATTTCCAAAAATGTTGTGACTGCTAAATTCCTGAAGATTGACCTCAGAGGTGCTTGAAAAGAGCAAACTCTGTAGATTCTGTCGAGGGTGTGTGTTTTATTTGTGGTTGATTTTCTCTTCACAGTACCTGCCCTTTCAGTGGCCTGTACTCGACGTGCCTGGAAGATCAGCCATCAGAGACTCTGCTACTCCTACACAACTGGTCAGGATGACTATACGCACACACACACACACTGTTTTTTGTCTTTTGTTAGTGCTTCACTAATCTAATGATGATTCCAATTGCCTGTCTCTCAGTGGGGACCTGTGAAATGTCCCCACAAGTATAGTTGTACCAAGAACGCACACACTGTCCTCACATGAGTGAAAGGACAGGTACACAGGATGACAGTGTTGACTGGTGGTGTGCAAAGTATCGAATAATTCCGAATTAATTTCAGATGTTTTAATTCAGATGTTCAAAAGAAAATACAACATTTCATTAATTTGTTTTTTACTTTGCTGTTAAGTAATACTTGAAATGTCTTAATTAATGGTAATGTGTTAAACATCAGAGTTCTTCAGGTATCGTCTTAGGTTGAACCTGTTTTTGGAAAGCGAGGGTCATGAGAGTCTGGAGCTTGAAACCTTTATTGTATTTATTTTAAAGTAACCAGGAATATAATTGATCATTTCTGACCGACGTCTGTGTTTGATGTTAAAACAGACATCAGAATTATATCATTTCCAAACTACATTTCTTTAATATTCTACTCAGTAGTACTCACTACGCAGTATTCTGGTTTTGGAGGAGTTTGAGATCCATTGGGTAATCCTGCCATCTGGTGGACAGGTGGCAGAACTGTAGCTAAAATAACCACATCGTTGTCTTTTTGTTCACGTTGACAGTCTAACAGTGTCCCTGTGGTGCAGCGCCCCCACATGGCTCCTCTTCACCCTCTGCTCTCCTACAGTCCGGAGGCCTTTTCCCCTCAGAGACCCTCCCCTGGCTTCTCTCCAGACACAGGTTACTTTCCTACTGTCCTTCAGACACAGACTAACACAAACAAATGCATCAGTTTGGTTCATGTTACATTTTCAGATAAACACTCAGGCTGCACGTGTATTTCAGATTAAAAGCACTAGCTTTAATCTGCAGATTAGAAGTGACAGGGTAAGTCCACCGTGTGACATGTTTCTGTGTGAATCTCACCTGTACAGCAGGTGTGTCCAGGACTCTCCCCACTACCTGTTACCCCGTGTCTCCTGGAGGCATGACTCAGATTCCCCACCCACTTGGCTGGCTGTGAGTCAAACACAAACACACACACACACACACACACTGTCAGTTTGATGGAATTCCTCGGTGTTGATGGTGTGGGGACATGACAAGTGTTTGTCTCTGTGTCCTTAGGCAAGGACAGTCCATGTATCCACTCCCAGGCGGGTTCTCACCTGTGGCTTTGTCAGGGTAAGTCTGCGTCATAGCAGTTTACTTCTGGTTTTCTAGAAACATGGGAGGACAGTGCTGTGTGGTGTGGACCTTAGTGGTCGTAGCCAGAGATGTTTGTGGTAGATAATCCAAAGTGATGGTCCAGTCTTCCTGAAATATTTCATCATTGGGAGTTTTATGACACAGACCTGAAGGAAATTCAGTAGAAAGAGAATTTATTAAAATGAGATAAGAGACCCCTGCTCTAGGGCTCTTGTGTTTTGTTTCCAGTGACATAGAGCACACCACATAAAAAGTAATCATCTGTCCTGTCCCCAGTCTTATGTCCAGCAGTTTCTCCCCACGTTTGGTGTCCACCCCTCAGTCGTCCATTCCTCACCCGGCCATCGTCCCTACAGCTGTGAAGCAGGAGCCCGGCTGCAGCGGCCAACCAGGGTAAGAGACTCAGAAAGACTGCAGACTCTGTGGTCTTGGCTATAGAAGGTTCTCAGAACAGACCAGAGACAGAAGACCAACATTGGTGTGTGTCTCCCTGCAGGAGGTCAACCATTGACGAGGCCCAGGAGAAGGAAGAGGAGAAGAAGAACTACGTCAAGAAACCACTTAACGCTTTCATGTTATACATGAGGGAGGAAAGACCCAAGGTGGTGGCTCAGTGTAAAGTGAAGGAGAGCGCCACCATCAACCAGATACTGGGACAACGGGTGAGTGACAGCTCTATTATAAAATCTTAAATTATTTCAAGGGAAATTTCTGAGGTAAAATAAAAAAAGATTTGCCGTCTTTGTCCCAACATTTTGCTTTTTTCAAACTATAATTCATATATTAGTTTTATTTTTCCCTATTTCTACCATATATCTTTGTTCACTGTTTTCTGTTGTTTTACCAAAAGTATATCTATAGAAATACTACTATAATAATAAGCAGAATATTATAATAAGAGCAGAATTTGTTTGTTTCTTTGTGTGTGATGTGTAATGACCATGTTTTGTGTGCAGTGGCACTCCCTGTCGAAGGACGAACAGGCTAAATATTACGAACTGGCTCGTAAAGAGAGACTCCTGCACTCCAAACTTTACCCTACATGGTCTGCCAGGGAAAACTACGTGAGTATACGGAGCGTCGTTCTCACATGAATGTCACGGTATCATCAGCTGATACCAGGGGGTAAAGGCTAACTCTTTTGTTATAATTAATTCCTCTCAGGGTAAAAAGAAGAAGAGGAAGAGGCCAAAGAGTGTGTCTGAGATGGAAGGTAAGTCCACTAAAGTTCTAGTCCTGGGTGGAACAAAGAAGAGTGCCGTCTAGATACCAGACATTTTCATACACATGTCAGGCTACACCACCACAAACAAAACAAATAAACTGACCCTGTTCTATTCAGCAGAACTATTCACCTTCACAGTAAAAACATTCAGCATCACTGATGGGCAGTGTTGGAACTCAACTTCAAGCTGTCCTAAGAGCACCCTCCCCTGAATTAGGTTTACCTGAAATTGATGTATCTGCCAAATGTATCACCTTCAGGTTCCACCCTTCTTTGAATATTTGCCTTGTGCCATTCACTGACCAGAATGTTCTTTGTTCAGATCCTGCAGCTGACACTTCTCCAGAGGACTTGTCCCCACAGCTCAAGAGACCCTGCGCCCCGGGCGCACCTGAGACAACACCACGCACCCACTCTCAAACCCTGCTCACTGCCCCTCCCCCACAGACTGCTCACGCCCACAACAGTCGTGCCCACACTGCCTCACACCTGACCCACACCCACCTGTCCCAGGCCAGCCCCGCCTCTTCACTGGACTCTCCAGCTACACCCACCACTGCACTGGCCTCACCTGCTGCACCGGCACCAACCTACACCGATCACACCCACTCGCCCTATGGTGAGCAGCTGCAGCCGCTGCCCCTCACCACCAAGCCCCACAGACCACCACTCTCTCTGAACCGCAGCAGCGCCACCTCAGGGCCATCCACACCGTCCTCCACTTCTTCTGACACTCCCACACCCTCCCCACTTGCATCATCATCCACCAGTTCACCTCTTCCTCCCCCCCCTCCTCTTCTGATGACTCAGCCTTTCTTCATGCCGCCTCTCAGTTCTCACGGTGCCCTAACACAGTCGCAGCCGTTCTCACTCAGAAGAACCAATCACCTGTGAGCGCCTGCACAGACTGCTGCTGATGTTCAGACCTGGGTTTAACCCTGGTGACCTGTCTGGAATAAGACACATTGGACCTGCACGAGGTTCAAATCCGAGTACGTACTGAGATCCAATACTAGAGCTACAGCAGAGCTGGTTTAAGGATGAATGAGTCCACACTCCCGTCGGACCAGTCTGTCTTGAGGACACTTGGAGACACGGACAGCTCAGCTGACGTCCTCTGACCTGCTGCAGCAGAAAGCCCCTAAGACCCTGTCTTCCGCTGACATCTTCTGACCCACTACATTGGGGAATGTCTCCTGAATTAATGACCTCTGACCCGCTGCCACATCAAAGATTTTGGTTGTCACATAGGAAAAATCAACTTCATTGTTTTTACAGTTCTTAGCACATTTGTTAATTTATTCAAAGCTGCTGTCGCCATGTTATCACTGATTGTCACTTGAAGGTTTTGTTGCCATTTTATAATTTGATTTCACAGTAAAGCAGCAATGATTGGATTTAACTCATCAGCAGCAATGAAACCTTTTACTGCGTCCTTCGTACTCAGGCCAAAGAAACGGATCACACTGGTCCTTGCTGACCTTCAATGAGCTGTGGACATGCACATCATCCTGAGGACCATTCTGGACCCAGCTGCTGAATCACTGTCCTCCTCGTTTAGTGATATGTCTTCTGTTGGAGGGACATGTTTTGACATTTGTACCAGGACAGACTTTTGTACTAATTTGACATGATGTGAGGACAGATGTGAAGAGCAGTTATCTTCTTCGTACCTCTCTTTCCTCTGCTGTAAATATATTTTTCTAACTCTTTTATAGATGTATCGCAATTTATATTTGGTATAAAAAGGATAGAACTGGTCAATATTTGACTTCATGGATACATCATTTTAAACCTCACTTTTTTAAAGTCTTTTCACAGAATTTGCTTGTTCCATAGTGAAGGTGTGCCACAGGGTGCTTGTATAGGAACCTCTATTTTCACCAGCTAACATTAAGGGTTTGTCTGTTTTCTGAATTCTTTCATGTGTTTAATAAATATTCACTGAGTTCTGATGCCTCTGGCTATTTGACTGGATTTTTTATTTGTCAGTTTAAATTTGGTTAACTTATTTTCACAAAACTAAAATTAAAGCAGTTCTGATTGAATTGAAACTAAGAACAAGTTAGTTTAGCTGAAACACTGCTCATAAAACATTAATTGGGAAACTTAAAATAAAATGTTACTGCAAAATATCCCCACCTGTCTTTGCTTTTTCTTGTTTTGCTTCTGCTTGTTAACTAACAGCATTTTTTCACTGTTTTTTTCCACTAATGTCCATTTAAAATTAGAAAAAAAAATCAAGACACTTGCAAACAAAAGAAAATATAATGATACATTTCCACAGTGTAGTTTTTAAGGAAATTCCTGCACCCGTGGAAATTCCTGCCATTATCAGCATGATGTCAGGTCGATTCCCTAAAAACAAATTTGTGCTTTCTCTTTCATTCTGATTTTTTAACAGTTTTTTTATGGCGGCACTGACTGAAGAGATGGTGCTATTGCTGCTATTGCAGAGGGTTTATGGAGGTTATGTAACTTTGGTTGAACCCACTTATGACATCTGCAGCGGTTACCGTGCAGGAAGTACCATATATGGTCTATAAAGGTGTGAAGCGTCTGTTCAAAGCTCTGCTGGGAAAAGGTGCAGGTGACAGAGAGTAGTCAGAGAGAGAGAGAGGGTGTAGACATTTAACAAGAGACAGAAACAGTCACAGCAGCTCAGAGAGACCAGAGGACGCTGAAGACATGCCATGGGGACGTGCTGCAGTCATGGATGAACAGTGCAACCGGGCGTTGGTCATCTCTATGGAAAAATTTGATTATGGCGTAAATCTGGGACCTAGACCGGGAGCTAGAAAAGACGCAAAGAAACTCCACATGACATTAAGTAAACGAGGCTTCAAGGTGGACATCCACATCGACCTGTGTGCTGATGAGATATACCAGCTATTTCAGAAAGGTAACGCATAAGGACGAAGACAGAGAGACAAACAAAGACACCAAGTGAGGGTTGGACAGTGTTACACATTGTCTTAAACACGGAGACAGAGAATAAGCAAACTTTGAGTCAGAGTCAGACAATTAGAGACAAAGAAAGAGGAATGCAGAGTCTGAGAGACACATATGTAATGACAAGACAAGAGACAAAAACACAAGCAAAGAGCAGGTTTTGAAAACAGGGAGCAGGGAAACAGACAGGATACTTCGGGACAGACAAAGATAGAAGAGAAGAGACTGAGACTTAGAGAATAGAGTTGTTTAAGACATAGAAGCAAGACAGCAACAGAAAGATCATGTCAATCTTTATAATGTCAAGCGTGGACAATGTCCGGCTTCAGGTTTCCCATTGGACCGTCTTCATGTGGTCCACTAACTGTTTGATGTCTGTGCAGAGAGCAAGCGTCCAGTGCAGGACTGTTTTCTGTGTGTCCTGTCCTCTCACGGTGAAGAAGGCTGCATATTTGGGGCTGATGGGAATGTGGTCTGGCTGTCCCAAATCTTCTCGTGCTTTGACAACCAGGTCATGCAGAACAAGGTCAAATTTTTCCTCATACAGGTGTGTTTGGGTTGACGACTCGGTCCAAAGCTGTGGGTCAGGTGATTCTTTCTCCAGATTATCATGTGTTTGTCTCACTGACGTCTTTTGTCCCTACAGGCCTGTCGAGGATACAAATTGGATGATGGTGTAGAAATTGACTCGGTGGACGGAGAAGGGAGCAGCTTCTCTCAGCAGCTGGATGTTCCTGTAGACACAGCTGTGATGTATGCAACTGCACCAGGTGAGCACATGGAACCACTCACTCCCGAACAGACCAAAGTCCATAGAGAAAATCAGTGATTTTAGCTCAGACCAAAGTCCATAGAGAAAATCAGTGATTTTAGCTCAGACCAAAGTCCATAGAGAAAATCAGTGATTTTAGCTCACAGACCAAAGTCCATAGAGAAAATCAGTGATTTTAGCTCACAGACCAAAGTCCATAGAGAAAATCAGTGATTTTAGCTCACAGACCAAAGTCCATAGAGAAAATCAGTGATTTTAGCTCACAGACCAAAGTCCATAGAGAAAATCAGTGATTTTAGCTCACAGACCAAAGTCCATAGAGAAAATCAGTGATTTTAGCTCACAGACCAAAGTCCATAGAGAAAATCAGTGATTTTAGCTCACAGACCAAAGTCCATAGAGAAAATCAGTGATTTTAGCTCACAGACCAAAGTCCGTAGAGAAAATTAGAGGAGCTTCGAGCTTTCACGGACTTTGCAGATGCTGTTCCAATGCTGCTTCTTGTATCCAATTTGGCCCATGAAAACCTTAACTTGGATCCTGTAAATAATTATTTCTATTCGTTCCCTGTTTTTGTGCAGTAAGCAGACAAGCTTGAAAACTCACATCACAGATTTTCTCTATGGACCAATTAAATGAGTTGTGTGTATCCAGTACCTGTATACCAGTATACAACCATCCACACAGACTTAAACTGAACTGAAATGTACTTAAACAGGTGACATTCCTGACATGTATCTAACTGGCATCAATACCCATGGCTGGTTGGAGATTACACCCTACGCTCTTAAATTTACACTGTGATAAGACTTTCAGTCTCAACCTTTGTTCACTATAAACCAGTTAGTTAACCCGCCTGGTGATCATTTTTGGCAAATCTTTGATGAGAATCCTATCATTCTTATCTCAGGACTCTGGACATGTGGACATCTCAAGGAACAAGAAAAGAAAAGAAAAATCCCCAAATTCTGCTGAATGTTTTAAGAGCTAATGATAATTACATTTATGTAAAATAGGCATGGTCGTATCATATGGTTGGCTGTGGTTAGCCTTTTAGCTAAAAACTCATGGTTTTGATTCTTTAACCTCCTAGGATATGGAGCCTTCATGCACCCACTGGGTTCCGTATTCCTCCAGACATTCTGCACGTTATTGGAAAAAGAAGGAAACCGTGAGATGGAGCTGACACGTCTCATGACCCGTCTGGCCCACAGTGTGGCCTACAACTTCCAGGCTAGAGGCCCAGTTCTGGGTGGGAAGAAGGAGATGCCATGTCTCCTGACACGGATGACCAGGGAAATTTTCCCGTTTGCTGAGCCTGAAAAAGAAAAAGATGGAATGGACCTTTCGGCCACGTCTCTGGTAGACACTGATGTCAAGAGAAGACGGACACCTTCAATCAGTTAGTCAGTTCACATGACTGTGTAGAGATGGCGTGGTGTCTGCACTGATTTTATCAGGGAAACATTGCACTTGTGACGGACTATGGTCTATTTAAAGTTGGTATTTTATCACATCTCAGGCATTTAATCACATTTAAAACAGGTTAAGGTTCCTATAATAGAATTTGGTTTTTAATGTTCATGTTTTTATGAAGGACATTTTTTGGCACTGGTGCCCTATGCTTTTTAAAAATGTCCTGGATAATTTTAAATCTCTGGCAATTTATTAAAATTTTCTTCATCTTTTTTTAAGTTTTGACTTTATCTATTGCCTAACTATTTGCTTGGGTATCAGACATAAGATATTTAATTGTGTATTTATACTATTGTATTGTTATATTAAGATGACAGACTTTCCATGTTTGTATATTTGCTGTTTTTAGTTGTTGTACAATGTTGTACCTTTTAAAGAGCTTTATTGATAAAATGGTATGATTTAAATTAGTTGGTGACAAAATGTTGTTAACTTTTGTTAAGTTCATGAAGTTGGCAGTTTCATTGTGCTTTTGTAAAATTTGATTTTTGTAAATATTATAGCACTCTTTTTCGAAAAACAGTAAATATTGTAGTCATTTCCATGTTTTGTGCTTTAATAGATTGTCCTCCAACAATTTGTTTTGAACAATCATTTTTTTAACAAACTTGAAGTGGGTTGGTGCCCATTATTATTATTATTATTATTATTATTATTATTATTATTATTATTATTATTATTATTATTATTATTATTATTATTATTATTATTATTTTACTTTGAAAAGCGACACCATCCAAACCGGAAAACTACGTATTTAGCAGAAAAGCTACTATTCTGAAATCTAATCTAAACCGGAAACTTGTGTGTGTTTCACTTCGTTTCTTAACGCTGTGCCAAACAGAGGCTGGACTGTGGCGAGTCAGTGACCGACGAGGAGGGAAATTCACGGAATAATTTTACTGACATTTCTGCGTACAAACACGTTGTCACTTATTGTTGCCACACCTTCACCTTTATATCTCGGTTTTATCTGAAAAATTCAAAACGGAGCAATTCTGGAAGCTGGCGGGGACCCGCGGCTGTGTGCCGCCGGGCATGGATGCTCGGTGAGCCGCAGCAGGTGTGAGGACATGATGGCGGAGCCTCCTGTGGGAACAGGCAGCAACAGCAATAATGGTACCGGTGGTGGAGGCAGAGTGTTACTGGTAAAGAGGCTGAACATGAAGGACGGAGGGACAACGGTGAGTGACGGAAAGAGCGGAACACCATTTTATACCAATGGACACCTGTATAAGCTTAGACTGACATTTATTTATTTTACTCGGTACATTATTTAGTCAACGTCTATGGTATGTAGTTAAATAACACAGCAACGCTGATTTATTGAAAATAGTGAAAATGACTCAATGCTAAGTAATAGTCTTCGTAATGCACACAACAAACATAATAGGAGAAAATAAAGCAGATATAATTTTCACATTCGTGACATCAATGTTCATACTTCAAATAAGTCAAATAAACGGCCTTTTCTTAAAGTAAACAAAGTAACTTTCCATCGTAACATTCGAGATGCCCAGATAAACCATGAATCTGTAGAAAGAGATGCAAAACAAAGAATATCAGCATACATTTACAAGATTTATTCAAAATCCTCATTTCAAATATGACTTGTGTTTTGCCGTTTACTTGCAGTACTTGCAGTTTAATTTTTTTTTTCAAGGAATGCGTGTTATGTGGTTTCTGTGCAGTAATGGAGGCACAGCTGTGTTTAGTGGTGGTGATGTTGCTGATGCTAAGGATGGAGCCATTATCGGTTATGTAACATGTACCAGCCACTGAAGCACACACACACACACACATACACTCATCTCTCCTCCTGCTCCGACTGTCAGCGTCCATTTTAACATCGTGCTCTGGCGAAGACTCTCGGGCATTTTACGACATTTTATCACCGTCACATGAACGGCAGAGATAAAACATCCTCGTCTCTCTCATCAATATTTCATCCATAGTTGTCTCTGTTTATTACAGAGACAACGAGCATGTTTTTATATTTGCTCTTCTGCGTATTTAGATGGAGCAACAGTAAGACAGCCAGTTTCCCAACAGGATTAATCATGTATTTGCATTGTGATGTAATGTGAAATAATAATGAATCGGTAACCTATGATGTCATACAAATATAATGAAACATTTTGTCATTCCATCAACTCAATAATAGTTTTGTAGGTTAAATGTATTTACTGCAGTGAAATTAAATGTCCTCCTGTGAATTGTTTTTTCTGTTTTGTTTTATTTTATTATACATCAGTAGTACAGTTGCACCATTAAATCCATTTAAGAAAGAATTCAATAGGAAAAAACACTTCTCAACTCATCAACAGTAGGTGTTTTGAAAGGCATTTTCAATTAGAAATTAGTATTATTATTTCAGCTCCTCTCCTTATTGGGGTCATCCTCTACTATTATACAGTACCAACAATTTCCAGGCATTTTCAATTAAAAATTATTCTTGTTATTAATATTTTTACTTCACTGCTCGGATCCATTTTAAATGTTGTAGGTCGTGGCTAGATTGACTGTGAAGACATCTTTGAAAACAGTGTTCCTCTGTTCTCTCAGGGTATTGGCCGGCCCAGTGTGTACCATGCCATTGTGGTGATCTTCCTGGAGTTCTTTGCTTGGGGTTTGCTCACCACACCCATGCTCACGGTGAGTAAAATTGTCTGTTTGAGGTATAGATGGCTCTGTTTTCAATGCTTTGTCAGCATGACGTCAGGTCCATGTCAGTCTTTATGACACAGACAAAGATTAATTCCATTTTCTTTTCTCTGCAGGTTTTACATGAAACATTTCCTCAGCACACTTTTCTGATGAATGGACTCATTCAGGGCGTGAAAGTTAGACCCTCTCTACACTAATTATGGTTGTATTTATTTTGCACTGGGCTTGACATAGTCGACTCCAGTCGAGGCCTTACCCCGTTGTCTGATTTGGGTGTCTCCTGTTCAGGGTCTGCTTTCTTTCATGTCTGCTCCTCTGATTGGAGCATTGTCTGACGTGTGGGGGAGGCGCTCTTTCCTGTTGGTTACTGTCTTCTTCACTTGTGCTCCTATTCCACTGATGAGGCTCAGCCCCTGGTTAGACATGCCTTTCATGATACTAATTAATTTGTTTGATTAAATGAATTTGTTAAATTTTTCTAACACCTGCTTGTTTTGTCTGCAGGTGGTACTTTGCCATGATCTCCATGTCTGGAGCTTTTTCTGTCACCTTCTCAGTCATTTTTGCCTACGTCGCTGACGTGACAACAGAACATGAGAGGAGTACAGCTTACGGACTGGTGAGATTACAGACGTGCTTACCTAAGGGACATTTTGTTGCGCTCACATTTTGGTACTTGTCAGTTGAGTTAAACAGACGTGTCCTTGCATTTAGTATGTAGAACCCCACTGTAAAGAAACTGAGCATAAACTGACCGAGGGGTTTAGTATCCTGGTGAAAGCATCTGAAATGTGTCACCACGTGGAATGACATCAGCTCCAGGAATGACATCAGCACCAGGTTGACATCATCATCAAGTTTCAGGTGTTAAATGTCCAGCACTGAATCTAAAACCACTGAGCCAAAACGGATGCGTCAGCTTAATCTAAGCACAAAGATGAGCTCGGAACAGGAAAGTCTTTGGAGAAACTGACTAGACATCATCTGCATGTTCAGCATTTATTTACACATTAATCAAAGGAAAGATGATCCAATAATCATTTCCTCATTTCAGCAATTATTTCATCAATACATCAGACATCTAGAAATCTCCACAACAGGAGCTAAAATGTTTCTTTAAAAAGAAAAACACTTTTAGAAATAAGTTACCCAAAACATGAAAAAGCATTTGAACGATTGTTTCTCCCCTTGCTCCAGGTATCAGCCACCTTTGCAGCAAGTCTGGTCACCAGTCCAGCCATTGGTGCCTACCTGTCTGCCTGGTATGGTGACAACCTGGTGGTTCTGTTGGCCACACTCATCTCTCTGGCTGATATCTGCTTCATCTTGCTGGCCATGCCTGAGTCCCTGCCTGACAAGATGAGGTTGAACACCTGGGGCGCTCCCATTTCCTGGGAGCAGGCCGACCCATTTGCTGTCAGTAACACATTTCATGCTTTATCTTCTGTGTTTGGCTCATAAATGACTGGTGAATAATTTCTAAATCCTCTCTTTTCTTTTAGTCTTTAAGAAAAGTGGGCCAGGACACAACAATTTTGCTCATCTGTATCACCGTGTTCCTGTCGTACCTGCCTGAGGCTGGACAGTATTCCAGCTTCTTCCTCTACCTCAGACAGGTAACAATCATAATACAGCAGTACAGTGCAGTCTGTCTGTGAAGGTATTTACATAATGTAAATTTAAATATAAAAGTACAGCAAGTTTTCTGATCAGTCAGGATGTTGTTAATGTAACAACCTTTTCAAAAGTACTCTTTGGATACCAGTACTACTGAAGATAATCTGAAATGATACTGATGGGTTTAATCCACCAAGTTGGTTCCTACTTCAGTCAGATACAGAGTTGTTACTGTTGTACTTTTACTCTACTTATTTAACTTTAATCATTTCTCTTTTTTCACCAGGTGGTAAATTTCTCCTCCACCACCATTGCTGTGTTTATTGGAGTAGTGGGCATACTGTCCATTGTAGCACAGGTAACACTTGCACACACACATACTCACTGTAGACTCTACAGTGTAGAGTGTATACAGTTATGTCCTCCACTGACAGACCCCACCTTCCTCTGCAGACCCTCCTCCTCACTCTGCTGATGAGAAATCTGGGGAACAAGAACACCGTTCTTCTGGGTCTGGGTTTCCAGATTCTCCAGCTGGCCTGGTACGGCTTTGGATCTGAGCCATGGTAAGAGCAGAGAGCAGTGTGTAGAAAGTTTAAATGAACCAGTGACCACATATCCTAATATGTGGTCACTGGTTCATTTAAATATAAATCTTCACAGATGAAATGTTCATTTATTTATTTATATAAATACATATACGTATATTTATATTATTTACTTTATTGATGGTTGTGATGACATCAGCTAAAACTAGATAAAAACAGACAGATTAATAATCTCAGATCTTAGATATGTGTTCAACTGCAGTCTACTGTCTGTGTGTAAACAGGATGATGTGGGCAGCAGGTGCTGTAGCAGCCATGTCCTCCATCACCTTCCCTGCTGTCTCTGCTCTGGTGTCACAGTCAGCTGATCCTGATAAACAAGGTACAACAGAGAAGATGTCCTCTTCTGTCCTTGCCTCTAGTTTTTCTCCTCTGTCATCTCTTCTCTGTATCTCTCCTTTCCTCTTTTTTCCACTTCTCTCCTCTCTTCTGCTCTTGTCTCCTGTGCCCCTCTCCTCTCTTGTCTCATTTCACCCCCCCCCCCTTACCTTTTGTCTCCTGTCATCTTTTCTCCTAAATCAATGCACGTCTGACCTTGCTGTAGATTTCTGTGATAGAAAACCACATCTTTCTGATCTAATCTGCCCTCCCTCTCCTCAGGTGTGGTCCAAGGGATGATCACAGGGATCAGAGGTCTGTGTAATGGTTTGGGTCCAGCTCTTTATGGTTTCATCTTCTTTCTCTTTGATGTGGAGCTGAACACCATGGACCCCATTCAGGGAGATTACAGCATTGACCCTCTGCCTCTGCACAGTCCCACTGAGGTACCAAAACAACAACCACAAAACACACACATGTCTTTTACATTGGGAAGTTTCAGAACAAACACATTTTTACCCATTCTTCTGTCTCTTAGAGGGCACTAATCCCTGGTCCTCCCTTTCTGTTGGGGGCATGTACTGTTGTGGTGGCCTTCTTGGTGGCGCTCTTCATCCCAGAGAAGCCCTCCACCTCTGCGTCCGCCTCCTGCTCCCAGCTGTCCCTCAGTGATAAGGCCCATCCTCACAGTAAAGAATCCATGTCCTCCTTGGCAGGTATTCACGTCAACACGCCACTACCAGGAAGCGATGAGGAGACTCCACCCACCACTGCCAGTGATGAGGACTTTGAGCCACTGCTGCAGGACAGTATTGTTTGATGGACAGGTGGAAACAACTTTAGAGGGCGGTGCTAAAATTAGACCAAGGAAAAAGGAGTAAAGAGCAGTTACAACCTTTCTTTACTGCAATACTTAAAGCTTGACATTGACATCTTCGGCCAGAAGATGGAGCTAAAGGGTGAAGATAGACCTGGAGCAGAGGAATATTGTAATTAGTCGTGATGGCTCTGTAAAGAGCAGAGGAGTGCAAAGATGTGAATGTATGATGTCAGTACAGAAGACTTGAAGAGGATCTATTTATTTATGTAATATTTATTGATTTCTGATCAGGCTCGGGACCAAAGGGACGACATGGTGAAATATTTGGATTAGAAAGGGGAGAGAATGGGGAATGTGCAGTCTCATCGGACTGAGACATTAGACATAAGAGAGTTTAATGTTACAATTGGTTGTTTTGTTTTTTTCTTTATCTTGAAGCTTGAAGTTGTTTTTTTCCATATTTTTTCCCCTGTAATTCTGATGTTAAAATGATGTCTGTGGTATTTTAAGGCATTGCATAGAGAAATGTGTCAATTCATTAACCAGGTACACTTCTGCAACAAAGTCCTGAGAAAATATGACTTCAAATGAGACGGGAATTGATGGTCCACTGCTGCCCCCTGTGGTCAGTTGGTTTGAGCACATTTAAACATTCGCGTTCCAAAACGACACATTTGAACTCGGTGCTAGAAACAGCAGTTGATCAGCAACACCTGTCTGACAAGAATACCAAAAACCTCATCGTAATGGGTCATGTGGAAAAGTGTTTTTTTTTTATCTTTAGGTTACTATTGAGAACAAGTACTGTTTCTACATGTACAGTATTTCACCTGCTCTGAGCTATAAATACTCAGACATGAATGTGAAGATATCAATCTGAAAGTACTGAGGTGACAAATGAGTGACAAGTACCTAGAATGTGTTTGTACAGTGTAGAATATAACTGGGCACAAACTCATACTGCAGAGTATAAATGAACTACGTTACTATGACTTTTTTTTCTTTTCTGTCTGTTGCTCTACCTCATATCAGTGTTTTTAAGTCACACTTAACCTGGAGTTTCTTACACTCCATGACCTTTATTTAAATATTGAAGTCACTTTATAAAATGTGCTGCTGAGCCAACAGGCTCTGAACAAGTAAGTTTTACACATCAGTTCTTCAGTGTGTGTTTTACAACAGCTGAACAGTAATAAACCTCCACCTTGTGACACCTGGAAGTCCAGTTGTTTTATATACACTCTGTGATTTCTACTGGAGCAGCAGATGGTTTTGACAGGAGCTCTAGAGAAGAGGATAATGAGTGACACAGAGTGTACATAGTTATTCATGTTATGGAACTTGAAACATGTAGACGGGGATGTGAACATAAAGGTTTGTATATATCATAAGTGAAGTGTTGAAGGCTGGCGTGTTTATTGTAGATTCACTTTTGAAACTATTTCTGATTGTTGTACTGTGATCTGTGTATGTCTACATGCACACAAGCATCCAAGTGCAGGGCTCCAGACTTTACTAAGACGTTCTCTCACCCATTTTGGTGGAACCGAGTAGTTCTTCCTTCGTCAATCCCATGAAGATCATTCAAATGGTGCTCGTCTCTTTGAGAATTGTCACAGAGTTCCCAGAGACACCAGCTAATGGAGTGAACTGACCTTACCTGTCAGCACATCTGTCAAAGGTCATGATGTGTTAATAACACTGTCTGTCTGTGGAAGTATTTAAGAAATGTAATTTAAATATGAAAGTGCAGCAAATTCTCTGATCAGTCAGGATGTTGTTTATGGAAGAACCATTCTAAAACTACATAGAAGTCTGGAGCACTGCACCTTGGTCACATGGTAATGTTAGTTGAGTTTGTTTCAACTATGAAAATGTAAAGTTCTCTGTATGTCCTCTATAATGCACAATAGTGTACAATATGGTCATTACTGAAAGAAGAAACATATAAAACTTGGAACATCTCATTTTGTTCTTCATGCTTTAACAAGGTCCTCCCTGCATTAGAGGACTGGGGCAACAGGATGTGGTTTAACTCCAACTTTAATCTTCTCTCCTCAGCTACAGCTCAAGTCAGTGGGAAGAAGTCAGGAAATTATTTTTCTTTTCATTTCAGTTTGATCCTGTTCATATTGACACTGTGACTGTGTGAGTGTTAGAAGAAGTCCATAGAGCACTACACAGATGGAGACGTTGCTGGTTAAATTCCCAGCTCTACTGTGTTGTTTTTGTTACCTCCACAGTCCAAACACATGAAGATTGGAAATATTAATTGTTCACACTAAACTGGGCATAGTTTGGAATGTGAGCGTGAATGGTGGCTGTGCTTGTGGCAGAGTTATTAATAGTATTGCCATTAAATACTGCTCATAATTAGACCTTTATTCTAATTCGAGGTCTAATGGTTAACTGTCAGTACTCCCCTTAATTTAAAAAAATAAACTATACGGCATTGTCTTTTAAGTAAACATTAATATGTTGTTGCGTTGTGTTCAGTTTTAATATAGAATATAGAATTAATATAGTTATAGAATATATTTAATATAGAATATAGAATTAATATAGAATTCATTTTTCTCTTATTTATTATTTTTTATTTATATTTTTCAATTTTATTAGAATGTTCAAGAAAAAAGAAAATACTTTGTTTAACAACAGTCATTAGTCGTTTTCTTGTTTGTTGTCATGTATACATCGCCATCTACTGGGCAATGCTGATCACCAAGTTGTACCGTCGACCAAGCGGAACCTGTAGTTTGTGTCACGTGACCCAGATTCAGGCTAACAAGAAGCCGAGGGCAACATCGAAGATGGCGTCGCCACCGCTCAGCAGCTCAGGGGACAGATGTTGGACAGAGGAGAAGGAAAGAGCGTTGATCGCCTTCTTCTCCAGTGAGTTCACAGAAACACAACAAACTTTTATTTTCTACTCAAACCTTGTCTAACGTCGCCGTCTCTACCCAACCCTCCACGGAAGCTGCAACATTTTCCGGCAACCGTTGGTCAATGGAACCGACGACTGCAACGAGAAACACGGAAGAAGGACAGCGATGGTCTCAAGCAACTGAGGCGACTTACTCGAATTTAATTTAAAATAATGTATTTTTTTCATAAAACTTTAAAACTGAATACTTTGTTAATCTTCACATTTGAAAGATAACGATGGAAATCGATATTGGACACTTTGACAGTGTATGACAAGTATCCAAGTTTATTAAAATAACTCCGATAGAATCAGAAAATTAGTTAATGAACATCGAATGAACCCGAATGCGCTTTATATTTTTATCTTAACTTGAGTTCCATTTTAAACATTTTTCACTCCGAGCCAGAAGTAAACAAACAAGTTTAGTTCACAAACATGTATTAATTTACATTTGAGGTTAATGATATCTTAATACTCAGAAACACCAATGTTAAAACTATTATAAGAATTGAACAAACGGTGATGTGTTAACAATATGAAGCTCCAAACCTTTGACTGGAAATGTAAACCTCTGTTTAGTTTTTAGATATACTCAGCTTTTTTATGTTCAAATGTTTGGGCTCAAGAAAATTATTTGTAATTATTCATATTTTTCCCTTCCAAGAAAGAAAGCTCTAAAACAACCAAATACCTTTTTTCCCCAGAACACAGCTGTTTGTGGAACCACAAGTCTGACGGCTATAAGAACCGACATCTGCGATGGGAAACTCTGGAACATCTGAAAAACCTCCTGTCTACACATCCTCCACCTGTGCCTGTCACAGGTAGGTACACTGTCTTGCTTATAAACTATTATTTAAACATGAATTTTGAAGAATCTCATCTTTGCCTTTCTTTTTAGTGGAAGACATTAAAAACAAGTTCAAGAATCTTCGCACCACCTTCCAGCGTCAGTACAAGATGGTGAGGGCAAGCAAGGAGTGTAGGAGCAACATGTTTGTCCCTCAGTGGAAACACTACCAGCAGCTGATGTTCCTCCAGGGGTGCTCAGAACAGGACGACGAGGGTGGTGGTGCTGATGACATTGATGACCAGGCACTCTCCCTACAACCACTGACCCTTCCACAGGAGGAGGAAGAGGAAGTGGTGTGTTCACAGTCTGACCAACCAGCATCAGTAATACTTGCCTCCATCCTCCCCATACCAGCCCTCTCCTTCTCCTCCTCTTCGTCCCACATGGTCTCCTCTAAAATGTTGGTGAAATGTTTCTGGACTGAAGAGAGGGAACGAGCGCTGATTTCCTTCTACAGCGGTAAGTCTTTCTCTCTCCTGCAGTTTGAAAATATTATGACTCTATGGGGTGTTTTGAAGTGAATAAAAATTGAATCTGTGGTGTTGTGTCCAGACCACGACTGCCTGTGGAACAAGAACTCTGAACACCACAAAAACCGTCCTGTGCGGCTCAGGCTGCTGGAGTCTCTGAGTGTCCAGCTGTCTAACAAGTCAGTGACCTTCACAGGTAAATATCAAATATTCTTATTCATTTCAAGTACATACAAATGTAAATAATTGGTATTTTTTGTTATGTTTATGTTTTTCACTTCTAACCACTTCCAAACATCTGGGTTCTTTACTTGGCTTATTCTTTTCTCTGTCTTTGGCTCAAATATATATGTACCATTGGACCACAGGTTTTTGTCCCGTGTCCTACCAGATTACCATACACACCAGAGTGACATACTCTACTTTACTGCATATGTATGTGTTAGAACAGCTGATTTATCTTATTTATCTTACTTATTTTTTCTCACTACAAAAACGTTGTCTCAGTCCCCTCCAGGACACAGACCCCTCCTTTTTTCCCCAGTTTTCTGCCTAAAAGTATGTTAATAACAATTCATTTTCACATTGCAAAAACCCTAACAATTGAGGTTGTGTGCCACCCCTAGTCTAGTCTAGTTTGATAATGGGATTTCATTTTAAATCTGCCTAACTCCTTAAATCCTCTACCTTTTCTGTGTTTACTTTATAGTGGATGACATCAAGAGCAAGTTCAAAAACCTGCGCACAGTTTTCTACCGTGAGAATAAGGCGGTCACGGCCAGCAGGGCGTCAGGGAAACCCTACGTGTCCAAATGGAAACATTACCAGCAGCTGCTCTTCCTCTATGACTCCTGTGATGAAGAAGACCCCACCAACTCCACCTTCACCACCATCATGGACAACTCACAGATGCTGAGTCCAGAGGATGAGGAGGAGAGTTTGGAGGAGGAACACCAAACACCTTTTTCAGTGCTGGACAACTTTTCCTGTCGCACTAAACAAACTCAAAACACGAGTGCTGCAGTCACACCTGCTGCCACCAGCATCAGTCAGAGTGAGGCTAGGAGCAGGTCTAACATCAGGTACCAAGTCCCCCTCCCCACCTCTACAGACAGCATCAGCAGAGGAGGTCCAACAGCTGCTCCTACCCTTCCCTCCTCTTCTTCTGCTTCACTACAGGAAACCAACCTTTGTGTAAAGCCTTCTACAGTCAAAGTCATTCCATCTGCTCGGGTGGAGACCGACGGCCGACTGAGTGCAGAATCTGTCTGCAACTGGAGCGAGGTCAAGGTTCAGCAACTCATATCCTTTTACTCTGGTGTGTGGTTTGTAGTAATTAAATACATTGTGCTCCTGAACTGATCCTCATCATCTCTTCAGACCCTGAGGATAATGTTTTTGCTGACTCTGCTGGTGTTGACTCTGCTTCGGTTCTCTTCCAGAACACAGCTGTCTGTGGAACCACAGGTCTGAGAGCTACAGGAATCGTCTGCTCAAACAGAGTCTGCTGGAGACACTGAGCAGCCTTCTGTCTGAGAACGAGCCCGTCCCATTTACAGGTGACCACCACGGCTTTAGAAACAATATCACAAATGATCAAAGAAAAAAATGCATTTAGTGTTCTATAGACAAAGATCAAGTTCAAAACGTCATCTTAGGTGAGAGCTGTGTCGTATGTTGGTCTTCATCGTTGTCTCAACACAAACCTTGACATACGAGATAGACTGATCAAAAGTGTCTCTGTCATTCATGCAGACGTTCTCCCTTGTTCAGACTAGAGAGAACAGGTTTTATAGTAATCAGCAGGGGGCTCCCAGGCCCTGTTTACACCGCTGTGATATCATACAACTACAGAGCCTTCAGATACAGAGCGCTTAAACTGGGCCACTGAGTACAACTCTGGTCCCTTTAGTACATACAGTATGGAGTGTATGTGGCACACTCTAACATACTACCACCGGACGACTTTGAACCAGAATTTTGGAAAAATGAATACACAAGCATGGGAGTTTCAAACCTCTGCACCCTGGGACCTGTGTTCAGGAACAGAGTTCTCTGCCCCAACACTACGTCTCTGTCTAAACACAAGGCGGAATCGGGGCCATAGCTCCGGGATCCGTGGTGGTGTTACTGCTGCGTAAACAGGCCCCAAAAATGTGAAGAAAGGTGTTCTGGTCCTGAAGTCCGGGTTTTACTGTTGTTTTGTTTTCATGGAATGATAAAAGCAGGAACCAGACCAAGTAAAAAGTACAGGACAGTTCCTCGTCTCTCAGCTGGCTAATACTGTATGTTCTCATTTTAGTGCATGACATCAAGGCAAAATTCCGAAGCCTCCGAACTGTCTTCCAACGGGAACACAAGGCAGTGAGCTCCAACAAAACCTGTGGCTCCGAGGACTTCTACCTACCCAAGTGGAAGTACTTCAGTGAGCTGATGTTCCTCTGTGACTCCTGTGACGAGGACGATGAGTGTTCTGAGGTGGACAATTTCAACACCTGTCAGGAGACCAGCTCTCTGCGTCTGGCTGGCCAAGCCCAGCTCTCTTCCTCCTCCTCATCCTCCTCCTCCTCCCTAACCTACCACACCAACATCCAGGCTCCACCTTCACCCACTCCTCCAGACTCTGAGCACTCCACCCGGTCTCCATCTCCATCTTCCTGCTGTCACGCTGACAGCAAAGCATCGTCACGAAAACGACCAAGAAGCCAGCAGAGGGCGCTACCATCCTCCTCCACCACCTTCAACAGCAGTCAGGTTCTGGACTTGATGTTATACCAAAGTCAAACAGTCTCACCTCACGTTGGGTTCCTCAAGTACGTGGAGGAGTGTCTGAACGAGATGCCAACCGACAAAGTGAAGAAACTGAAGAAGAAGATCATCGAGACCATCCACAGCGTCTCAGAGGAGCTCTAGTCTTCCAACTGGAAGTTCACTTTTCTTCAGTCCAAACCTGATCACCTGTGTTCAGGACTAGGATTAGGGAAGAAAACATGGAAGAAAAGCACATGAGGAGGTGAATTTGAAAACACCCTCTCTGAAGATATCAGTGAAAATGAAGAATCTTTATCTCCTGACATACTTTATCTCTAGCATTTTACTGGCAAAGTTTTTGCCAGAACACATATTTTTAAATGTTTAAAAAAAGGTTAAAAATGTTATCTCTTCAGTCATATATAGGTTACTTCTCAAAAAAAGTTTATTTTTCACTGCCACTGTTTTAAAAAAAATCTTTTTATACAACATTTTTGTTTTATTTAATTTTTTTTCCTCTTCTAGGATATTTATATTATTTTTGTAAGTATTATACTTTGTGCCTTATCCTATTCTATTTACTAGATTTTTCTGAAAATGATCAAATGAACTATACATATTTATTAAACATTGTTAAATTAAAAGCACATCCAATATCTACACATGAGATGTGTTACATTTTTCAGTCAAGAATGAGTGTGACACCTATATGACACCTATTTTACAGTTCTCAGTTCTCAAGCTCAACTTTTTATCAGTTTACCAGTGAGAGCTAACGTCTCATGTTCAGACAGTGTGTTCTAAACATCTTTCAGGCTGAGTATGAAAAGGTTTAAATGAAATAATATACAGAAAAGAATGTGTTAATATAAGTTCTGCCTGTCCTGTGTTTCCACACAAATACTAATTAGACCTTTATTAATAATAAGACTTATTGTCATACCATGAGGACAACTTTATTTACGGCAGTTGTGTATATCTGTAAGCATTTAGCGGCATTCACATCTGTAGATCTTGACATTCCACAAATATCCTATAGATGGCGACATACGACAACTCGCCGTAGCCCATTCAGCCGCAGAATTTTCAGATAAGGGTCAGATTTCTCTGATCCTCATTTACAAACAGTGCCATTCACTTCAGCTCCACTGATAACCAGAGGTCAGAGGTTGAAAATCCCGATACAGCACAAATAGAAAATGTAAAAAAAAAAAAAAAATCAGCAAACGTTATCTTTGTTATATTTGTTGTGCTTTTGTATTGAGATGCTGAGACAACTGCAGCACAGAAGAATGATGAAGAGGGTGATTTTAGATTTCTCCTTTTTTTCAGCAGTACACTAAAGGTTTTAGCTGTCAAACCAAAACCCATATATAATATAGTATAATCGGCGATTTTACATCTCATATATATGTATATATACACTCGACCTGTGACCCCTCTGTTAGTTGGGTCACCTGATGACACTTCAGATCCAACCACATTCCATGGCTGGTCGGCAGATATTTCCCTGCAGTAGAAGTGATGTGTTTTTTTTTCTTTCATTCTGTTGAATCACTGCTGTCACTGGTTTGTCTCATAGGAAAACTTGATCGAAGTAGAAGAAAAACTGGAAACATCATCACGTCATCAAGTTTTGACCCGAGGTAAAATTCATCTCAAAGTGGTTCCATTGTGATTGATCATGTCTAGGTTGATTGTGTTAATGTTACAATAAGCACTCCACCTCACAGTCAAGTGACCCAATGAAATGACTCAAGACTGTAGTATTAGATCTACTGAACCATGTACTGTTGGTTGGTTTGTAGTTGGAGCAGTTACTGCATACTCTACTGTTCTGTTAGTGCAGGTATGGACTGAGGTTTCTGTCTCTGCCTTCCCCCTTTTTCTCTCTCCTACTCTGCCCCCCTCCCCCATTATGATTCTCTGTCTCTCCCCTCTACCTTCAGTCTGTCTTCCCTTCTCTGCCCCTCCATGTCTCTCCCTCTTTCGCTCTGTACCTCTCTTTCTCCCTCTCTTTTCTCTCTCCCTCCCTATCTCACCCCCTCCCTCTTTCTCCCTGTTCACTGAGTCGCAGTTAAATCCCATTGTGATGTAAAACAGAGTCGGAGAGAGAGACGCAGAGGCACGGTGAGAGAGTCTGGTTTCTCTGCTCTGGACTTTGTCACTTCTTCACTTTTCTCTTCGACAAAACTTTTTGGGGATTTTATTTTTCCTTTTAGTGATTCTGGATCTGGATCTTTGTTCTGACGCTTCATGAATGCACTTTGCAGGAAACTCTGGTCTCACCGCTCCTCCGCCTCCTGCTCCTCCTCTTGTTTCTCAACTCTGCTCTGCTCCGTCTCTCCTCCTTCTCAATGAACGGAGGAAATGTTTCTCTCCTGACGGAAACCGCCTCGTTGTCTTCCCACCGCTTCCCGGTGTCGGTCCCGGGATAAGGTGCTCAGGAGCTGCCCGGAGGGAGCGCACTGTGGCCGGCCATGGAGAGCGGCTGCGGCCGGGCGGGAGGAGGTGGAGGCGAAGGGCGTTTTATGCTGGTGGAGGCCCGGCTTCAGGGAGGAGCACCGTGGGGTTTCACCGTGCAGGGAGGACTGGAGCATGGAGAACCGCTGATCATCTCTAAGGTACCGGACATTTCTGCACCACAGTCACTGGGTTTAACAACAGCACAAACAACAACAACAACAACACAAACAAGTGGTTTCAGCAGCTTAACTAAATTAAACCCAGATAGAAAATCGGTCTAAACCAGTAATGGACCACAACCTAATAATCATGGACCACATACAGTAGAGATTTTCAGATGTCAAGTGGAACTGGTGTCCAGAAACATCCCTGACCTGAAGTGGGCCACACAAGACCAATCATCTTTGACCTACAAAGTAAACTATTGTTGTCTGTTGTTGGTCCACAACCATCTCTTGGCCACATTGTGGATCTCTATACACCAGAATTGGGCATTGTGTCTTGCCCAAAATGTTGTTGGTTCAGACAGTGATTATTTTTGAGAGCGCAGGTTTCCTCTGCTGGTCAGTTGGGGGAGTGCACAGTGGACTTGAGGCAGTTTTGTTTTGTGTCTTTTGTTTGTTCTCAGTGCAGGAGCTGAAGGTAAACCAATCACTGAGCATATGTGTCAGAACCTCATGGAGTCACACTCTGAATAATAATCATAATGATGACGTTTCTCCTCCACCAACCAGAGTCAGCTGACCACTGAGATAAATGATCACAAGTGTGTGTGAATGCACTGTGACAGGAGTGTAGGAGTCCGATTGTTGCCTGTTCTCTGTTGTAAGTGTGGTGTCAGGCCACTGTGTGAACACTAATGTGCATACAGTAGAAAATAAAAACACCAGTGTGTTAGAAAATCACCCAGGAAAACACATCATTCACATTCTTGTCCTATTTTACAGCCGTTTGGCCTGAGTCCCAGAATAACACACACACACACACTGAGGGCCTTGCTAAATTTGCATTTTAATAAAATGAGGTCACTCCGACTGTAAGGACAGATGGTGAATCATTACTGGTCATTTCTCTTTCACTTCTTACCTCAACTTGTATCACTTCAACAGAGTGATACGTGGAAAATCAGTAACACACACACACACAATCAACTTTGAAGCAACATTCTGGCTTACCTTTTTCACAGTTATTTATGTTTAAAAAGAAGACTTTAACTTAATTTTTTGGTTTCCCTTTGCCATTTTGGGCTATTTCTATTTGTCAGCTAGTAACTGTTTTCTGGCTAACCTTTAGATGTTCCTGGTTACATTTTTATATTGTTTATTTGCACACCTGTAGCCATTTTAGCTAACTTTTTAAAGGCAAACTTAGCTTTTCTTTGGCAAACTTACAAATACATACACTACTGTACTAAAGTACAACATTTTTGTTTTTTTAAGCCAAATTCTTGCTTTAATACTGAGATAGGTAGGTTGGCAATATGTAAGTTTGTCATACAACTTTAGCATTATTTAGGCTAACAGTAAACAATATTTCCAGGATCACTTGAAGCAGTTTTATTTTCTTATCTCAGCCCACACTTTTCTTATCTATAATTTTGTTTATAATAATCTTGTACACAGGCTTCGTTCCCCTCTGTTAAATGTTTGAGACCATTCTAGATTCTCTCCAGGACCACTTCATTAGATGTTCTGGTTCAAACCATCTCGGAACCCCTCATTTTGAAGGAGCCCCCCGCTGCGTCTTCTCAGAACATTTTCCCCCAAAACTCCCACAGTCTGTATTGATTAGAGAAGGTATGTTGTTTCAGTCACGGCACAAAGTCGGCCCAGTCAGTCGCTCTGTTTGGAGTTCTACATGTGCAGCATAATTAATTTCAGCTGGAAAAGCACACACTGAAATACACACACACTCAGAGAGATGGAGGGACGCAGCCGACCTTATTTGGGTAAAGTTTCCCTTGAAACGGTCAAACAGCTCAGGCATGTGATTGTTGTGCAGAGATGATGAATCGTCGAGCTCCACAAGCTGCGACTCTGGGAGGACTTTTCATTTCCCTCACATCATTAAACACAACACAGTGTTGGAACAAAAGAACCCACATTTTTATCTATGAGCTGATGTTATCTTTGGCCCTACTCTAAAGGAACATTCACACTATCTCAGTGAAACACTTCCCTTTCATATCCAGTTCAGCAGCTTCCAATGCTAACTCTTGTTGTCTCCCCTGGGCCCACTGTGGCACGTAAAGTCTATCTTATTTTTACACGAATCATATAAATGCTACGTCAAAACTGTTTTGGTTTTTTTGCCAGACTTTATCACATCATTAACAGTACAAATAAATCCTTGTTTGTGATGTACTGAATATTTAGTATACATTTTTAGCTAACCTTTAGGTATTCAAGGTCTAACATTTAGATACTTATTTGATGTTTATTGTTGTTCTGTACAGCTTAGCTGTTTTCCTGGTTAATTTTCACCTATTTCTTTATATTTTTATTAATAATATTTTCTGTTTACTAATTGCTATGTATTGGCTGACGTTTGCTATTTTCGAGCTAACATGTTTACGTGATATCTGATGTGCCTGCTATGAGCTAACAGTTAGTTATTCTTAGACTGACAGAAAGACCAAAGTCTTCATTGAATCTAACCTCAAGCTGATTCTCACCTAATTCCCCAAGGAAAAGTACTGCACACCTGTGTGTATTGATAATGACTCAGTGCCTCCTAAATGCACCTTCAAAAAACCCTCCACCACCACTCAGTGAAAGAACCTAAAAACCTGTCCGAAGAAAAACACGAAGCTTTTGTCGAAGAGCAACACATGGTGTCATTCAGAGGGAGCTCTGACACACCCTGAAGAAAATTCTTGGCACATGTTATGTACTTTGAGGAGTCCCAGATAGGCGGGGCCTAATATTTCACAGAACTGTTTTATACTTAATTGATTAAAGGGAAGAAAAGTGTCAAAAAATGTATTAAAAGTCATTTGTTGTTCTTCTGGGGCGTTCTTCTCTACAGATATAATAATAACAGCAGTGTTGAATCAGAATAGGGAAAGCAAAGACAAAAGGATTTTGTGACAAAGCAGAAAAGTCAAACAGAATAAGACAACTTGACCTTGGGATTAATGTGTGTGTGTGATTAATGTGTGTGGTGTGTGATAAATGGATGGACTCACTGCTACAGTGTGTGCTTCACTCGGCACCGACAGAATGTTAAGAGCTCCAACAGACAGCACTGATAAACAGGGTCAGACTGAGATACACTATCAGAATGTGCGTGCGCATGTGTGCCTGTGTGTGTTTGTGTTTAATCTGACACTAATTTCAATCCTAACTCCAAATTTCACATTCCAAATTACTGTATTTGTAACCTCAAAATACCCTTTTATTCAGTGGAGACATCCCCACAGATGTCCCCAATAGGACAACTGTCCCCACAACAATAATATATTCAGAAAAATGTCCCTACAAGTAGTGCTGTAACAGAAGACATACACACACTTTTCTGCTCTACTGCTCCAGGTTAATGTCCACTGTTGTTGTACTATGTATACAGGTGGAGGAGGGCGGTAAGGCAGACTTGGTGGAGCACCCCCTGCTGGTGGGAGATGAGCTCATCTTCATCAACGACATAGAACTGACAGGATACAGACAGGAAGCCATTGCTCTGGTTAAAGGATCTCACAAGACTCTGAATCTCACTGTCCGCAGGTAGGTGCAGGTTCTACACCACAGAGATGAAGGTTCTGGGACTAAAGGTTGGAGCTTTAGACCAGTGTTCCTTTAATGTTTTACACCATGGACCACATCCCAAAATATTTGTCTCCCCCATGCCTACCTTCATTACAAGTATTGAGATGTGTCAGCATAGAGCTACACTACACAGATAAAACCAGTGTATGGAGAAGAACACTTATTCTGAATAAGAACTCTGCAGGTTTCTGCTTTTGAGCTCCTTGACAACCTCGAGAGAGAACCCAGGGACCACTGGTGATACTCAAACCTTAGTTTGAGAACCACTGCTTTAGAGTGCATGTGCAGAACTTTAGTTCTGTCACCCATGGTCATAACAGGAGACATGTACCGTCTGGAAAGTATTTGACTTAGCCTTATACATTCACTAAGGTATAAATCCAATAGGTGGTGCTAAAGTGTAGTGTCACTTTTTAGATAGATAGATAGATAGGTAGCATCTGTCACTTTTTAGATAGATAGATAGATAGATGGTTGATGGATGGATGGTTGATGGATGGATGGTTAGATGGATGGATGGATGGATAGATAGATGGTTGATGGTTGGATGGATGATAGATAGATGGATGGATGGATGGATGGATGGATGGATGGATGATGGATGGAACTGAAGTTCTATCCATCTTTTTTCCATTATTTATGAAAAATGCTGTGTTTATCCTGAACTGTACAGTCCAATGCAGCAGCTGTCACTGCTGTATCAGAGTCTGTGTGGGGGTTTGAGTCTGAGGGGACCACGTCCTCCTCACTGTCTCTGACAGAGGGAGTGTCTCTGTCAAGTCACCAAGACATTTTTCTCAGTCTGTGCCAGGGACAAAGACTGGAATGTGTTTGGGTTTGGGGTGTGACTGAGAACCAGGTTACTGCTGCTGCTGCTGCTGCTGCTGCTGCTGCTGCTAAAACTACTGATGCTGCTGTCACTGTCACAATTACTGCTGCTGATGCTGTCACTGATGCTGCAACTCTGACTATTACTGCTGCTGTTGTTGCTGGTGTCACCACTGCTGCCCTGCTGCTGCTGCTGCTGTGTTAGTAGTCACAGCAGCAGCAGCAGCAGCAGTAGCAGCAGCAGTGGTTGGCATTAAGACTCTGACCCTCTGGACAGGATAGGACTTTAGACTCTTCACACACACTCTGTTGAGTTGAAGGCGTGGTAAAGTGTGGACGTGCGAGAGTTTCTTTATTCGCTGTGATCTCCTTCTGTAAAGACCTGATGTTGAAGAATACACTTTGGACTGATCTCAGGTCTGTTTCTGACTGAACTGGACTGAGCCGCTACCTGTATCTTTTTTCTGACTCATCCGGTCCTGAGGTGTCAGCAGATCAGGTGCCTGGGGTCTGGAGTCCGGGTTGTGATATTGTGCAGGAAACTGTGCAGCAGGTCACACTCTGATTGGACAGAACACAGCTGTGATCCAGCCAGGACACTCAGACAGACACAGAGGTTCTGCTAGAATTGACTTAGGAAGGCGTGGTACAGGGATGATCCACATGTGGGGGCCCACAGGGTGAGACCAGTAACAGTTTGTCCACAGGCTGCACTTGAGTCCCACTGAAGCAGGTGCCCAACGTGGGGCCCGGGGCCCGGGGCCACCTGGTAGCCCCTGTGCCCGCGGGGTACGTTCTAAAAATAACCCTAGTCAACAAGAGGGTCAAAATTTGTACTGTTACTGTGCTTTTTGAATCAGTTCCACTTGTAGTGATATTCAAATGGGTGCAGTGATGATGGTTAGATGGGGGGTGTACTGTTGTATGTCATTGCAGTCATTTTGAACAACCATTAGCTATGAACTCAACATGGAACTAACCGTCAGCTGTCTTTAAGCTGTTCCTTGTTGATATTTTGACGTTTTTATGGCGGATTTGTAGACATATTCTAAGTAAAGTTTTTTTAAATATATGTTTTTGCAGGCACAGATAATGTTTACTTCTCTTGGACTGATTTGAACGTGTTGTCACAGTTTTACCTACTTTGAGGTACTTTTATATTTGTCTGGTGTTTGATGAGTTTGACTACGTCTGTTGCATTAGACAACATTTTGGCAAATTATTAGCCTTCTAAGGCATATTATTGGCTAACTATTGGAACAACATTTCCTCCCTTTTGACAGTTAATCAATACATTGACTTTCTTTCCTATTTCTGGGCTACATTTTAGTCATCATCCATCACAAAAATACTTTTTCCTAAAGTTGATGTCATATGTTGTGTCAGTCTGGGACAAAAATGTGTGTGACGTCAACAGCAAACACACCTGTCACTCTGACCACACCTGTTCACCTGCTGCTCAGCTCTGATTGGCTAAGAACAGAGAAGCGAGGAGACAGAGAGAGTAAGAGGAGGGAGTGAGAGGCACAGAGACACAGAGAGACAGACAGACAGACAGAGAGAGAGACAGAGAGAGAGAGTAACAATGTCTTTGGTTTGTTCCAAATAAACTGCAGTGTTTTCTGTGGAGCTCCACATCAGAGCTGTGAGTCACTGACTACTATAAATACTAATTTATTTCTGCTGACATTTTTATTTGTTATTGTTATGGACTGAACAAGGAACACATTTTTAAATGACCTGAAGTGAACAGTCGCTGAACTATCTGTGTTAGTTACTGAATGTACTGGTTAAACAATAATCCATGCTGTTTGAGTTGAAGTGTTATCACAGTGCTATTATGTGTGTCTGTTTGTGTGTGTGTGCTTCTCTCCTCACACTCCACCTGACAGCTGCTGTCTTAAGTGTTTTGTCATTTAACTCCAGGAGCTTCTGTAGTAACAATAGGAATTGCTAATATGAATTGTAACGATCAATAATGAGTATTATTAGTTATTATTATTGGTAGTAATTATATTAATAATGATGATAATAATGATTGAAATAGAGACAGATATTGGCAAATGTTGTTAAAAGATCCTCATTATAGGGTTAGGTTCACACCATTGGTGTGAGTGTGAGTGTGAATGTCCTCCACTTCCCTCAGCAGACAGTTTCACTTCACCACATATGTTTATCCTGATGTTGGATCATTCATCAAATTCAAATTCAAAACCTAATGTCTCCTAGTTATAGATTATCACCGTCACCCTGTCTTCACATGTAGCTGTCTGCAGCAGCTGTGGATCAGTGGATACAGCAGGTTAGTGTCCTGGGTTCAGTACACTACAGGACCTCCCAGTCCATATGCTGATGTACTGTATTTCCTGTGCCAGACTTGTAGATAGTGTAGCTCATGCAGCTAAGGTTTAGCCTTAGCACTTAAGCATAACTTAAGCTAATGCTCCTGACGTAATTAAAGCTGAAGCTGCTGTTGGAGGTTCTACCTAGCTGAGGTCACTGCTGCTGAGGCTCGTGCTGTTTGAAAACTGCTGCTAAAGTTTCTGTTGCATCTGGATCTGTTGCTTAAGCAGTTTCTGAGGTTTTAGCGTCTGCTGAAGCTCCTGCTGATGCTGAAACGTTCTGCTGTGAGTCTACGGTCCGGCTCTGGAACTCAGTTTTAATGAGTTCTGCAGGATTGACTGAACAGTCGCTCAGATTGAACACAAGGTGACAGAAGGTGGTTCTGTGTTCAGAGCCTCTGGCTTTCTCAGGTTTCACTCTTTGCATCTGCTTTGTTTTATTTGTAACTCAGAAAAAATGCAAAACTAACCACAAGTAGGAGAACTTTATCTACATATTTAAAATCATAATTAAAACTCCACATTCTTCGAGATAAACTGATCCTATGTCAGATGGAGCTGTGAAAATGATGCTGCTGATTTTAGCAACATATTTAAATAAGCTAATATTTCTAGGTCTAAGTCAATCATGGTTTGAGAAAATCATCAATTATTTCCCCTTACTGATGTTTATCAGCTCACATCCTTCATCAGTTAAAGTCATCATCATCACCCACCAGTGGTGTAGACGCCGCGGTTATTCATGAGTCTGGTCCCAAACATTAAATGATTTTTTTCTTTAGATGTTTGATTACCCTTCCACGCCTGTAAACAGGGCTAAGTGGCCAGTCCAATCAAACGGCCCGGTCGGGCTGTTACTGCAGCTCCACTTAATTGCGCATGTAAATGTTCTGCGTGACGTCCTATCTGTCCCTTTGTCCCCCTCCATTCATCTCTGGCGTGACTCTGCTCTTTTGTCATCCATTGACGTAACAGTTCTGAATGAATGAATGTTTGAGTTTCCCCATTTAAAAACAGAGGAAAGGAAGGAGAGAGAGGGGGAGAGAGGGAGAGAGCTCATTACAGGAACATACTGCTGTAGAACTGTTGTCTTGGTGACTGTTCTGTGTGTAACAGCATGTGCTTTTGTCCTACAACCTTTTTACATCAGTGTGACGACAGAGTTCCCTCAAAAACACACACACACACAGACACACACAGGCACAGACTGTTGATGTTATCAGATTTGGTTGAGAAACAACTCCATAAAAATACTTTCACATAGGTAGAAGAATCATCAGTACTGGGACTCGGAGGTTCCACTGATGGACAGAGACATGTGATCCTGTCAGGACCAGATCGTTTCTCAGCAAGGACAATGTTGGAACCTCAGCCTGCACCCATGACAAAAGTGTGTGTTTGACTGTCCTGCCTGCTGTCCTGATCTGTCTGCTACTGATAATGTCTGGGGCATCTTAAAGAGGAGGACAGTGAGCACTGACCGTTGAGGAGCTTAGTCTTCAATCAACAGTAAAAATAATGGATCCTCACTGTTGATTAGTCACATGGAGACTTTTTCTTGGTGTCTGCTATTGTGACATCATTAATTCAGTAAGGTTTTTGAAAACGGACACCTTACATAGTACCACCTGAAGTTGTGGGGGCGCTGTTGGGTAGTATTGTTCATGGAATAGGGAAGAAAAAGACAACGATAGAAAAACAGCAGAAAGCGTAGATCAGTTTGAAGAGTGGCTGTGTCAGTGTGTTGGTTTCTTCAACTACTTCTATATACAGTATATATATTCAACTACAGCTACATCTTCAACCTCATCTACATTCACATTTAACCCGACGCCCCCTCCAGATTTACATCTACACCTTTACCCACCTTTATAACTACACCGACATGAATTTGCAACATTTCAAAACTAAAAGGATTTCTTTATTTACAGTTTTGTGGGGTATCACTGTGACAGTTCTGTATTTATAGAATTGCATAAGAGAAAAAAATTGGAAATTTACATTCATTTTGTGATTTGATTTCAAGAAGTTAAATTTAGAACTATCACATATATAGTTTAAAATTAATTATATTAAAATTGGAATATCGTTGTAATGATCAGTGTTTCTGCCAGGATTTCTTAAGAACAGCGACTTGGTGTCAATAATGAAATCCCAGGTGATATATGGCAATTTAAAATGTCACTACAGCATGTAAAGAAAGAGGACCATATGTTGAAAGCTCTGTGGTCTGTAGAACTGTTCTGGTCACTGACGTTCTGTGTATATATTTCTTCATTAGACTCCACCAAAACCTTCCTTCTCGGGTTCCTTCTGCTCCTCATCCCCGACATGTGTTGGGCAGAGGAAGAGGAGCAGGAGGGAGCTCCTCTCCGCTCCACATATGTTACCTGGTTGTAGCAGGTTCCAGGTTCAGGTTTCACCTGAGTCTGTGTCGGGTTAGAACTTTAGATCCTTTCCTCACTTTCATCCTCTGCTCCTCTGTGGAAAAGCAGCTGCTTCCAAGAGTTGGGAAGAAGGATGTCACTCCCAGTATAACAATGGGGAATTTGGCTGAGATGATCTGGGTTAGAACTCCCAGGGTGATTGACCTTCAGGACACCCCCCACCCCCACCCCCCGTCCAACTCTGTGGTCTTCACTCCGTCTGCACTTTCTCTGGAAATAAATCATTGACTGTAATTGTTTTATTTGAGATGTTTGTGAGTCTGAACTGTGAAATGTTATTGAACTGAGCCTGGAGCCAGGTGTGTGAGTGTGTGCGTGCGTCTGTGTGTGTGATGAGTAGTGGTATGTGTTCTGGTGAATTGCGGCTGCCTCACATTCCTCTGACCAGCTCAACAGGTTCCACTGTAATGAGCCGTGCGTGTGTGTGTGTGTGTGTTTTGATGCTCTTGTCTCCTTTGAATACACACCAATGGAATGTCCCCAGTGAATGATATAAGTCAGGGTGTGTTTCTGAGTGTGTTTTTTAAAGTTGTGTGTATTGTGTTTTTAATCATTGTGTTTATGGTTTTAAATGTTTCTGTCGGGTGGAGTTTAGGTCTGGACACAAACTTCAGCTTTTTGTTCATTTAAACCATGAGCGAGATCGTTCCTGCATCATCGTCACAGAGCAGTCATTTATTATCATAATAATGATCATTATTTTAATGTTGTAAAGTTTAAAAAAATGAATAAACAGCAATAAAATACAGAGAAAAAAATATATTTATTTAATAAATAATTAAAAACCAAAAAATGAAACTGAAACAAAAAAGTCAAAAAGAGAAAATATTTAATCAAATAGCCAAAGATTGTATAACTCTGCCCCTAAAACCTTTCACAGGAGATAACACTGTGCTTTAATAAAATAACGTAGTTTTTGGTTTTCTTTCCTCAGGGAGTTTGATGAAGGATACAGCAGAGAGTCTCCTGCACCACCTCCATCACTCCCTCCTTCTCCTCCTCCTCCTCCTCTAACTCCTACACATCAGCAAGAAGCGACAGCATCATCATCATCGCCATCGTCCTCCCACCACGGCAGAGCAGGAGCGGGGAGAGGAGGAGCAGGAGGAGTCCAGCTCCGTATCAAGAACAGGTGACATCATCACACTCAGACTCTCTTCTCCTCAGACTCTGCTGACTTTTAGAAAATATGCTGACTCATTCAAACGTCAGGGAGCACAGCTGCTCTCATATGTTAAAGGCACAGTTTGAGGTTTTTTTGGACTGGGCTATATGAACAATCAGACTTCTACAGACTTCTACAGACTTCTACAGACTGTTACAGACTGTTACAGGCTGTTACAGACTGTCACATGACAATTTCTCTGCTTATAGTAACGTGTCAAAAAAATGACGGACTTAAGATTTTTATCGACTCACTTTCCCACAAAAAACATCTTAGAAAATAAATGATTTTAGCTCAGACCAAAGTCCATAGAGGAAATCAGTGATTTTAGCTCAGACCAAAGTCCATAGAGGAAATCAGTGATTTTAGCTGACAGAGACACATCACCCTCTGCTGCCTCTATCCCTAAGAAATCCTTTGTGTAAATGAACTTCAGTGACAAACAATGACTGTGGGGCAGTGGTGGGTTGGTGGTCAAGGAAGCAGACTTAGGTCCGGATGATTTCAGGTTTGAGTCCACCAGCTGCCAAGTTACCACTGAGGTGCTCTGAGCATGGCACTCCTCCCCCCCCCCCCTTCCCACCACCACTTTGGTGACGGTTTAAAAACAGAGGTTACGTTTCCTTGTGTGCTCTGTCACAATGACAAATAGTTCACTTTCCTATTCTGTGACATCATTGTCCTGTCGATCAGTACATCAGGAAGGTTCCCCTTTATAGTGTTTGTCTTTTAAAGTGTGCAGTTGAAAGAGGAAGTGATGTCAAAGACAACAGGTTTTACTGCTGTGGCTGCAGGAGGTCGTCACCTTCAGTGTTAGGACATCCTGTCTATGCTTCCATTCTGTGTGTTTGTGCTTGTGTGTGTGTGAGTGACTTAGCTAAAAAGGTCAGTCCATCTGACAATCACAGGAAAAAACAGAAATCTCAGCAGCGTGCACTTGGGGTGAACCAGAAAAGTTTGTTTGAATCTTTGTTAACGTGATATTAATTTAACAAGTACTGAGTTAATGATGAGATGTGACACTCATTGCTGGAGGGGCCCCCCAATATTAGAGGTTCATTGAAAACATAGCCATGTTGTTATTTGTTGACAGCTCGGTTCTTCAGAACAGATCAGATTATCTGCAGCTTCTTTGTGAAAAATAGATGTTTACATTTTTAGTTGCAACAGAAAATGATGTTGGAACATTTGAGACTCCATCAGTTTTGTTTGTCTCCCAGTCTGTTTCACACAAAAACACACACACTCACACAGTGACTAAACAGTCTATAAATACTAACACTCTGCAGCAGCCTGTTTCGTCCTAAAAAGGAGGTTTGATCATGGAAATACTGCAGGCATGTGTGTGTGTGTGTGTCCATGTCCTAGTTGAACCACCATACTTTGGTGACAAATATAGCTCTGTTTGAATGTTTTGGGTTTTAATGAATTTAAGTGTTTAAATATAGGAGTTGTTGATGCGAAATAAATGTCAGTGTGTAAAACAGACAAAATAATACACGACTTATCCTCAAGAGGGTGCTAGTGTCCCTGATGTGGACACATCATACCACTTCACACTTGAAGGCTACACTTTATGCAGTGGTTTTATTTTGAAGGGCAAACAGTTGAGTGAGAGATGAACACTGACAGAAAATGTTGCTAGTTGAAATCCCCACACTGTCATGAAAGTCAAAAATAACATTTTTATAAAAACAACACTGATGTTTTCAACTGAAGACATTTTTATTAGTTTCACAAAGTCACGTCATGTCAAATATTATAACACATGTGACTGGACTTTTTGAACTTTTTTTGTGATTTCAGTTGCTTTAATACTGTTAGGTAGGTTCCATTAGTGTGAGCCTCTACCACTGGGACACTGTTGGTCCATCCAGGCTAACAACAAGCAGGCAGAATGACTCCATTCTCCCATAATCCCCTGGGCTGAGGTTATCAGATACTGCCGAAAACGGAGGAGGAGGACAGGGGGAGTTGCTACGTGTCCCCAGAGGCTGGGTGTTAATCTGTGGAGGACACACGGAGAATAACTTCCTCCTGACTCCACTCTGATCTGTTTTTCTGCCCCAGCCTTCACCTCTGTCTTACCCTCACCCTAGCTTTCTTCTCAAGTTTGAGTTATTGGTTGCATCAATTAGTTTTCTTAACAACAGAGTTAGGAGACTGAAGAAACTTAAGCCCTTGCTCTCCTACACCAGAGTCCATAGAGAAAATCAGGGATTTTAGCTCACAGACCAAAGTCCAAAAAGGTTACGTAACAGTGTTACGTTTTTAAACCACTCACTCTCCCACAATAAACTAAGAGGAATTAGCTCACACCAAAGCCTATTGGAAAAAATCAGTAATCAACTAAACAGTTGCTGACGGCCAATCAAAGATTTGTTTTGGCTGTGGTCAAATCAGCTGAGGTCCTTGTTGAAAGTCCTTAAACCTGAAACTAACATTGTTAAGTGAATTCCAGGAGTCCTTGAAGAAGTTTCAGGGTAGTTTGGGAGTAAGGGTTAGTGACCTGAATGAAGATCCTGGAGAACCTTGTAGAAGTGTCCACCTAGAAGACTCACACCATCATTGAGGGTTTTGTTGTCAACACTTGAGTTTAGGTCTGTGTTCCTGCTGGGTTCACTTTTTTGTCCGCATCTCCCGCCAATTTTGTTCCCGGGCAGATCATGTTGATTATTATTATTATGGGCTGGAGGAGCAGTTTCCCACGACTGCAGATAAGCTTCAGAGACACACCCTGAACACACACACAGATGGTATGTAATAAGACTTTTTCTGGCAGACTACATTAAACACTTCTGTCTTGTGGTTTCACGATGAATACAGAACTCATATGTCGATCCGCTCGTACCTCGATTGCAATTTCACCATTAAAAATAACTGAAAACACATGAATTCCTTCCAGTCCCCCAGAAATATCCATCCATTCATCTATTTTCATCCGGGTCACGGGGGCAGCAGTCTGCATGACAGCCACCCCCTGAACCTTCCTGTGGGTGGTGAGTCCACTGGAAGGTACCAACCGCCCTAACCTGGATTCACTCTAACCCAGGAGGTGAACCCTGGGGTTCCACACCAAGGACAGAGACACTGGCTCTGGGCCAAAGCGCCACCCCCAGAAATATACTAGTAATTAATTAAATTCTCGCCCCCCATCTTAACATTAAAGACATATATAAGCAAAAAATATTGATAATATAAAATAACAATAATTAAGAAAACATTTTATATTATTGTTATAAAAATTGCTAAAATAACCCAGAGAGGGACAGTGAGTGAGACAGCGCCACAGTGTTGGGGCCACTAAGCCTAGGAGATGGATAATATTTTTAAAATTATTTTATTAAACACCAAAGGATATTATATATCGCCCATCAACTGTCATCATCATCGTCAGCATCACCAACAGCTCGGTTGAGCACTCGTAACTAGATGTTTCCCTGTATCACGAGGGAAATCTTGCAAAAGTGGCTTACTCATAACTTGGAAAACTCTAATTTCAGGGAGCTAATTATTAATCATTGGTTTCAGTCAGGAAACTTGTATGTACAGTAACAGAGACAGTAGTTTGTCATGGGACAGCCTCTGTTGTTGTCTCCACTGTTTCCACTGAAGTGTTAAAGAGGAGTGACTGGTCTCTGCTGCTGTAACAGTGTGAGTTTCCTCTGACATGGATGCTCTGGTGAAGGTGATCATGGTTAATGTGTGAAGCTGTTAAAGCAGTTGATTTCTTCAGTTGTCAAAGGAAAAGAAGACAGTTGATCAGTCGTCACACTTGATTTGCTAAAGTCTTTTTTTTTTCTCATTGTTTTATTTATTTCCCACTTTGTTTCCATTCTGGAGATTTGACTTTTCTCCTCAGAACTAAATAGGTTTCTTCTTAATGTCTGTAGGAAAGAAAGGACATTTCCTACTTTCTTTCATTCATTCATCCTCCTATCATTTTCTTGATTTCTTTGTTTTTTCTTTCTTCCTTTCTTCTCTGTCTTTGTTGTGGATGCTGCCTGCTGCTGCTGCTGCTGCTGCTGCTGCTGCTGCTGCTGCTGCTGCTGCTGCTGCTGCTGCTGCTGCTGCTGCTGCTGCTGCTGCTGCTGCTGCTGCTGCTGCTGCTGCTGCTGCTGCTGCTGCTGCTGCTGCTGCTGCTGCTGCTGCTGCTGCTGCTGCTGCTGCTGCTGCTGAGTCAGATTACTCCATTCCTCCTTTAACCAACCTTCGTGTTCTTTTTGTTTTCCTCTCCTCCCTGCTCCTCCCTTCTTCTTCTCTTACCTTTGCTCTCATTTTCACCACTTCTTGCCTCCTCAGCTGTCCCCACTCTCTCCTTCACTACTTCTTTATCTCTCCTTCCTTTCTACACTGTTATTTTCTACATTCCTCTCACCCCTCCCCTCTGCGCTCCCTCACCCCCACCCCCTCCATCTCTGAGGATGTTTACCACATACCTTTATCATACCACAGCCTGTAATGACACTTAATTAGTTTGTTTTAATGAAGTTCATGTCCTGGACAGTCGATGTGACAGAACCAGACTGGACCTAGACCAGAGACCAGGACATACACTTGCTCAACACTTTGATGAGTTTTTGATGAAAAGGACTGATTTAAACCGATTCATTTGTTTTGTGGACGTCAAGAACGTCAGAAGAAGCTGTTCACGTCAGGACAACGAGAACAGAGAGAAGATGGGAGAGAGAGAGAGTTTGTTTGCTGAGGTGATCAGTGGAAGTTAAAGATTGACTAATAGCTGTGACTGTCACTGAGATGCAGCTTTGATTCTAGGGTTTTTAACCAAGACTATGATGTGGATTTAGGAAAAAGTGCTTTGGCTTCACAGGGTATACCTTTTTAGTGTAAAGAAGATAAAAGGTTGATCAGAGAGGAACCGATCAGTAGAGAGTTTAAAGGGAGTTCTTTGTTCCAATGACTCATCAAAGAACATTCGTCAAAGCAGAAGACAGTGGGACAGACATGGAACAGTCCGGCACATTCTAAGAAAGAAGGTTGGTGAAGGGAAGAGTTGATCAGTCAGAGGAGGAGCAGATAAGAAGTTGAAGCAAAAGAAGAAGAATCAAAGTGAACTGTGAGTCATGGAGCTGCTGGAGGTGTTTTATCGAAGGAAACTTCGTAAGAAGCAGAAAAAAGTCGCAGAGACGTCAGCAGGCGCAGACAGAGGTGGAGGCAGAAGCAGAGGAGCTCTGAGTCGGGCTACGTCTGAAGCCAGTGTTAACGGTTTGGCAACTGGTCTCATCTCCAAGGTTCTCAGGTTCACCACCAGGTAAAAAACGCCAAGTCATTGATTGGTTGGTTGATTAGTTCATCAGCTCTGTCTGGTTCATTAACTGAAGGAAACAACATTTAAATGAGATCTGGTCTTAAATAGGATTATTTCATATGACTCGTGATTCCCGAGTCATATGAAAGATTCGCTTTGAACTCATTTTTCGCTGTGAACGGATCATTCTCTGTGAACGAATCCTTCGCTTCGTTCTCGCAGATTCGTTTCATTTGTCACGCGACACAGAGCTCGGGTCTCTTGCTCTCATTCATCTTCACATTGTGGTGTGCTTTTCTTTCTTAGCTTTTCACATGGTTTTAATTGCTTATGGCATTTTGTGTACTTTGTAGACTTTGTCAGCGGAAGCAAACCATGTTGCCTTATTTAGTGTCGGAGAACCGCAGCCTCCTTTACAACGCCCACAATAGGGCTAAAGCGCCACCTGTTGTAAAACGAATGAAATGATTAGTTCATTTTACTGTTCGAGAGTCAAAGATTCGAATCAATAAAAAGAGTCGGTCTTCCCATCACTAGCAGAGTACTGTTTGCCTCCCCTGCTGACTTTTCTCTGCACTTTATTGGCTGGAACAAAAACGGGCCCGCGTCATGTGACCCAGTTTGATTGGATGGCGCAGTCAGAAGTGAGGCTCTGTATTTGAATGCGAAACGGATTACATTAGTATCTAGGGAGTCCACTGTAAATACGTTTTCAAAAGTGGTTTAACTTTGTCAGATTAGATTTCTTTAGCTTCCAGTGGACTCACCACCCGCAGGAAGGTTTGGTACGGTGCAATGTGATTTGGGTGGCGACTGCTGCCCCCGCGACCCGGAAACGGATAAGCGGATGAAAATGGATGGATGGATGGATGGATTTCTTTAGCAAAGACATCTGCTGTGTCTTCAGTCTGATGAGACTTATTTAGACTGAAGAAGGATGAACTTGAATCTATGACAAAAATGCTGCTGAGTCTAAGGTCTAACTGGATGAGTTTTTGGAATCTCTGCCAGATCCTGATCCATTCTTTCAATATTTTCCCGATTTTTCCAATTCTGGACTTGACTCTGGACTCTTAATCTGTTTAACAAGTCACTGTTTTTATCATTTCTGGGTTATTTTTAACAACATTTCAAATTGTTCTCTTATTTTTGTGAATTATAAACACTCTCTATCAGAAGGATAGCTCGTAGAATTAGTCATTTCCTTTCTAATTGCTGCTGTTTGTGTAGGGAGTATAGGGGAGAGGGGAGGGAGTTTCTCCAGGTTGTCCAGATTTACCTAGATTTGTCCTATTTTCAGATTGGATGGGGAATGTTATGGTAATTTGTTGATTGTGCACTGACCATACACGTGTGTTTGGGGCTGAATGTGAGTGTAAAAAGCTGCCTGTCTCTTGATGGTGTAGCAATAGATGATGATGTGTAAAAAATGTGTTTTCCTTTTTGAATCTGGACAAATCTAGAATGTTCAGAATAATCATAGTCTGTAACCCCTCTCTCTCCCTCTCTCTCTCTCTCCAGACGCAGTGATCCAGCCTCACGTCCTCACTCATGGCACTCAGCCAAGCTCGGAGAAGGTCAGAGGACATTAGACCTGGACGACATGGAGTCTATGAGCAGTGGCTGGCATCACAACTATCACAGCAGGTCAGAGGTCAAATCCAACCTCACCTGAGTGTCTGTCTGTACCACACTCTCACACACTGTGTGTCAGCTAGTTTAGATCAAATATATTAGACAAAAACTGTAGTGTGTTTGTAGACTGCATTAGTAAAGCTCCTCAAGTCAAACATGGTCAAAGCCATGTTTGACTTGAGTGGGTTTGGTGCCTGGCCAACAAACCACATCTCAGCTGGAGCTGGAATTTGAACCTTTAGCCTCTTTAGGCCTGCCTGTTTCTTGTGACTTGCACTAACTTGGCGTTGTTACGTCCAGTGTTTCCAGCACCAACCTGTCCAGTGGCATCAACTCTGGTAGTGGTTACCTGAGGAAGAGTCCGGACCAGTACAGTTCTAGAGGCAGCATGGAGAGTCTGGACCCCCCTAAGTCCTCCCAGCTTCACTATGGAGCCCAGCAACACCACTCTCTGGGGCACCACGTCCACCACAGTGGACCCCACCCAGCCTACTCCTCCTGCCACCAGCTGTCCTCGGCCAGGTCAGCAGACACTGAACTTTCTCCAGTGGTCAATGATCAGGATCCAGCCAATCAAATCTGATCTTTTCCTGTTTCAGATCGTCCAACAGCATCGACCACCTCCACAGCAAGCGAGACTCAGCGTACTCCTCCTTCTCCACCAGCTCCAGTATCCCAGAGTACCTGGCCTCCACGCCCTCCTACAGCCCGGAGCGTTCCTATTCAATGGAGACCGTTCCTCAGACAGGAAGAGGAAGTGCTGAGATACAGCAGGCTGACCTCCATTACATCCGAACAGTTTACGACACTCAGCAGGGCGTCCCTCAGGAGCAAGAGCTAAGCTCCTCCTCTGCCGCATCACTACGTAACAACAGTGGTTCAAAAGGTGACGGGGGCTCCAGATGTGGCCAGAGCCATGACCTGCAGGGTAACATTTGATTCAACTGTCTTCAGGTGAAATGTCAGTGACGTCGACATGGTTGTCTGACTGGACCTGTATGATTACAGGGGTCTGTTACAGTAGCAGCAGCAGTGGCAGCAGCGGCAGCAGCAGTGCTGGAATAGCATTGTCACATCGACACAGCGTTGGTCCAATCTGGGGTCCACCGGTCAACCACAGCTCCTGTGAGAGCCTGAAGGGAGTGGTTCCTCCTCCACCCAGGCGCAGTGACAGTTACACAGCCATCAGAAACCACGAGAGACCAAACTCCTGGTCCAGTCTGGAGCATGGACGTCCACTGAGGTGAGTATGATGTCCAGTCCAACCCACTGAGCAGGAAATTTCAGAATTCTGACCCGGTTTAACCTTTATCTGTTTAATGGATTTAGGTCTATCCAGAAAGGTTCCTGGCACCACTCCAGTGGACCTGTGGCTTTAGGTGCAGGTAGGTCTGACCTCAGTGGGTCACACTAAACCCATCAAGTATGAATGTAGTCCTCCTCTCACATCCTTCTCTGCTGTGGTTCCAGCTAAAGGTTCTTATGGCCCTGAGTGTCAGCTCCATACTGTGATTGAGAAGAGTCCAGAGAGCAGCCCCACCACAAGACCCCGTCAGGGCGGGGGGTTTCCTCAGCCTCCTTCGTCTCCTGAATCCTCTTCTGGATCTTCAGCTCCTGCTCCACAGACTGGCCGCCTCATTCTGCCCACAAGCATCTACCCCGTCCCCCAGATTGAGCCACACTTTGCACAGATGCCCAACTATAACTCCGGGCTGGGTCCCTCCATGGTCCTCCCAGCCCTGGTCATGGAGAATCTCCAGCATCAGTGTCCTGATCCTCAGAGGGTTAGTGGGAGTAATGACGTAGGATCAGAGGGACAGAGGAGTATGAAGATATCAGCAGCAGAAAATGGTCAACAGGCCAACACCTCCTCTTCACAGGGTCCACAATCCCTATGTTCATCATCATCATCAGCCTCAGCACAGACCAGGACTCAAACACAGGAAGCTCACAGGTGAGATGTTTGGTTTTTGGTCTTTAGCGTCTTCCTCAAATGTCATTCTTATTAGCTTGTAATGCTAACTCACTGTCATTTTATCAGGCTTCTTCAGGACGACCTTGAACACTGCAGACACCAAATAGATAGAGGGGGACCACCGGGTCAGACAGGGGTCCACAGGCCCCAAAACCACAAAGAACCTCACACTCAGAGCTTCAAGAGTTCCTCTTCTCACAGGAGTCACGGACACCAGGACCATGTGCACCAGGAACAGAACCATCATCCCCAAACCCAGTCCACACATGGACCCAGACCCTCATGGACACAGGACTGTAGGGAGTCTTTCAAACCGGCCCAGTCCAGAGGGATCAGTGTTCATTCAGACTCGGTGGCCTTCTCCAGGACGGCCCAGGGTCAGGTACCACCTAACCACCCACCTGTTCATACCCAGCCTCAGGCTCCGCCCACATCTGCATCCCAGGCTTCTCTTGGTCACATCAGTGACTCGGCTCTGATGCAGCATCAACACCAGGACCACAGAGAGCAGGACATTGACAGAGACCACCCACTGACCCGTCTGGAGATTGCCCTTGCTGAGGTCCAGAGATGTGCCGGCTCTGACGGTGTGATGACCGCCAGCAGCAATGGCAGTAGTAGTTTTGAAGATGGCAGCCAGGGTCCAACCCGCAGCCTCTCCGTCCTGGAGAAAGTCAGTCGTTTTGAGGGTCGGGAATCATCCAGAAAGAGGCGCAGTCATAGCACAAGCAATGCACACCACAAAAGCTCCCATCTACGAGTAGGTCCAAGAAAGATTAGAGAGTTGTTTGTATGATTTTCAAAACAAATGTTGTCGTTTATTCAGAGTACTTTTTTCCACATAGCTGAATCAGATGACAGACAAAGGTCGCCACTCCCCTCGAGGAGCCGACGACCTGAGGAACATGTTGGAAAGAAGCACCACCGGAGGGAAACCTCACAGAACGATGAGCTACAGAGGGAGCAACAGCGAGTACATGAAGTACAGGTAGAACCTCAGCAGAACACAACTACAAATTCTACATCTTAGCTTTGGCTGAGATAAAAAAACAAAACAAAAAAACCTGTGTCCCTGTGTCTGTCTAACATCAGGACTCCAGCTGATCCTAGTTCAGCCCTACAGAGGAGTCGCAGCAGCTTCCAGTTAGAAGAATCCAGAGAGGGTGATGGCAACATACGCTCCCCCCGAAGACAGGAGGTGATGGCCTCCATGCAGGACATATCAATCAACAGGTGAGAGATTTATTAGCCATGATGTTGCACTATGTGAACTGGAGGTCTCTGTTAGGTCACAGTTTTCTAAAAGGCATGTTGTGAATGGTAATTCTTCTCGTGATCCAAGTCACCTGTCAGAGTGGAGTTCATTGACAGTGACCCTGGGGTCACCATTCTTTCTGGGAGTTGTCCTGAATTTAAAATCTTGTCTCTAATCAGATCCTACAGGGACTCCATCAAAGATGCCCAGAGTCGGGTGTTACGCTCCACCTCCTTCAGACCAAGAGACTGCAAATCAGTCAGTTCTCTGACGGCAGCTCCTCTTTCTGGCTCCTCCTCCAGCAGCCAGCAGCATCCTCCTGCATCTGTCAAGTTCCCCTCTCTTGAGAAAAAAGGCCCCAAAACTATGCCCAAACCACAGGGTGTCATCATCCCACTGCTGGTGCCTCCACCTGTCACATCTCCTCACACCCCGAAGGAGCGGCATGTGGTCAGTCCCCCAGCTCTTCCCAGTGTCCCAGCAGTGGGACCTCCCCCTCTAACACGGATCTGTGGTCGCAAGCGTTTGATGGCAGAGCAGAAGAAGCGTTCATTCTCAGAGCCTGAGAACCTGAATGAGGTTGGCGTGTCGGATTCAGAAACTACTGCCCTCTTCAGACGTGGAGGAGGTAAAAGCCTGTTTTAACTAATGAGTGATATTTCATTGTGTGAATGACTTCAGTAAAACACTGGACTATGGACCACTGGTTTGACCTGACAGAAACATCAGCCTGTTTTTGTTTATCTGTCAGAGACCAGTGTGGCAGATCGACGGAAGATGTTTGAACTTGCAGCGAGTCGTGTCGGGGGTGGGGCTCCCCAGTTCGCCACGTCAAAACCCGAGCTACGTCAGCTTCAGCAAGATGCCTTAGCTGAATATGTTGAGAGGAAGAGAGGAGGAAGTAGAGAAGAGGGAGGACAGAGGACCGGACCGAGGCCTCGCAGCGCGTATCCTGGATTCAGCAGCCATCCAGGTGGGTTCGATGTCAGGTCTGTGAATAAACAGAGAGGGAACACAGGGACATGAGTGATGACGATGTTCTGTTTCTCCAGGCTCCAGCAGTTACTCAGACACCCTCAGCCTCTCCTCCGCTTCCAGCATGATCTCACTGCATGACTCAGAACAAACCGTCTCATCAGAAAGACGTACAAGCTGCACCGACCTGCGTAACCACCAGTCCAACCTCTTCTACCCAGGCAGGGTGACCACACCCCGACCTCCTGCTCAGCCACCACACAGGTAAACAGACCAGATCTGCCACAGGTGGAGGCATCAAAAATGTTCTATTTAATTAGTGCTGATCACAGATGGTTACTCATTGAAGCTAACACTTAGCTGTATTACTGATACAAGTGCAGTAATCTCAGTGGAGGCTTTCTTATAATTTAAACTCAACACACGCTAACACTAGCTGCTAGCATGACTGGTAAAAACTGCTCTTTAAATAAATCTCTTTTTCTTATTTTTCTCCAGTGCTTTACCTGAATCACTTCCTGAGATCCTGACTACGTTTCCTCAGGATCTGATCTCTGAGGCAGGTCTCAGACGACCCAGTCAGTCTGGCAGCAGAGACTCTGGTCTTGGTCTCCAACTACACAGTAATGAGTCTCCTCTCAGTCTGGGTTTGTCCTACAAGCTCAATGGAGCTCTGCAGAGGGCCGGCTCCCACAGGGGCTCTGGGAAGTCCGCTTCCTCTGAGGATCTCCTGGAGAGAGCTGAGGAGGAGCAGATACCTCCTCAACATCAGCGCTCCCGCTCTCCCCCAACTGTGGAGACAAATAAGAAGGTAACGATGGTCAGATGAAGTTGAGGTTTAAACCAGGTCAAAAAGCTGGACAGCTAATTAAATAAAGTTCATTCTTCATTAACATCAGAACAGCCCGACAGTTCTACAGTCACTTCTCTGTGTTCATGTCATTGTGTATTTATAACAAATACCAGGTGATTTTTCATTATTTTAATAATTTCAATATGTCACAGCTTTAGAATCAGAGCAGGCACGATGAATTTTGTGTCACCATCAGATTCTTTCTTGAAATATAACATTGTTGTATTTATCTGAGCTGAGGAGAATTCCCTGTAGCTCCTGTCTGGATTTATATTTAGTTTATTTGCGGACATTTTTGCCGTTGAAGGACATTTGGTCCTGAGTCACACAGGAAATCCCTGGAATCCTCAGAGTTTCCTGTGAGGTGCCAGAGAGACGGAGAAGATGGTGACTGGGCGCTGTCTGATGTGGATGAATGCATAGATAGCACACACACGCACACACACACACACACACACACTGATACCTCCACTCAAAATGTATGACATACACACATCTGCATCAGTCTTAAAGGAATGCAGTGAAGGACAGATTTGCTCTTTATCTGAGAAGATCAGACTCTGTGTCACATAAACATCATTACACTTCAGTCACGTCCATCCTCCAACTTTTAAACAATAAATTACACCCAAGCGTCGGTGACAGCGTTCAAACTCAAGACCACTGTTTGAAAATATGTGCTAAAGGCCTCACAGATTTGATGAAGAAGTCCAGACTTTTCTACCAGTGAAACGTCTTCATTTTAGGAGACGAGCACTAGAACCTTCTTCAGTCAGTGATGTAGACTGACCTGGTCTGTTTGTTTCCTCTAGGATTGTCCTCCAGGTGACATCAGGACATCATTTGTCTCTGACCGTGGAAGTTGCACCCTAGCTGAGAACAGGTACCTCTATTCTATGAGTATGTCATACAAATGTGGGAAAAGAACAAAAAGAACAAAACAAAATGAACCAGTGGAAAATTTAAATGTTCCAGAAACAAATCTCCAAAAGAATACAAATAATAACACATTAGCTAGCTACCAAATTAGCGTACACATTAGCTAGTTACCAAAATAGCTAAAAAATAACTAGATACCAAAATAACTAACATGTTAGCTAGCTAGCTACTGTATATAACTTGTAAGATAGCTATCTTAACTAACTATTCATCTCCTCCAGTGTTACAGCATCATCTGGCTGTTTCTGTCATTTAAATCAGATCTCAGATCAGATCTTACTGTATACGATGTAATTCTTGTCCTGACCACCAAGTACAGACTGGTGGAATGTGTCCCAAGGTTTGATGAATTTTCAAAACCAAAAAGACTTAAAGCAGACAAAAAAGTAAAGTGAAGTTTGTTATCAAAGAAAAGCTGTGAAGTTAAAGGAAATGGTTGAAAAAAAATAGACAAAAGAGATGAGGAAAATATAAAGATGTGATTCTATAACGAGGTTTTCTCCAAAACCTGGGTGGAGTTTTTTTTAGATGCTCCTGAGAGTTGAGGTGAGGACAGGTTTAATGGGTTACAGTGAGACAGTGAACAGAACAACCAACCAGTTTATCCATGTGAGCAGGAAAACAAGACAAAGAGTCTTAGATAGAAGAAGGTAAAGACAGAGATAAGGACATAAGAGGAGGTGGAGAGGAGAAGGAGGAGGTGCTGAGGAATTTAGGAAGTAGAGAAATGTTCCTGGCATAGAGAGAGAAAAATAAACAAAATACCAACTTCATGTCCGTCGAGATTTATTGGCTTAAACACTTTAATGGGTTTGCGCAGAAATGTGAAGGTCAGAGGTCACTGCAGGAATTCCGTGTGTTTACACTCGGAACTTGAAGTTGAACTTGGAAACATCGCTGCCCGTTACTGAAGCTGATAAATCTGCTCAAATTGTTAGAAATGTTCAAGTTCAGGCTAAAAATAAATCAAGTGAATCTGAGAAAGAACTGGACTTTGACCAAAGACAGGTCAGAGAGAGACATGGGGAGGGAAAGGGCGCCTCCTGTTGGCAGTCCTAGCATTTTTAAAGACTACCTTTGCTGAAAGAATAATAAAGATGGAGATTTTTAAAGTAGTCCTTGAAGGGTGGGTTCACTGACACAGGGACATATGTCAGAGACTGTCTCTCTCTGTCTCCCCCTTTTTCTAAAAATGACATTAAAAGAGTCTTTATGATGGCGATCAACAAATTAGATTCAAATTTCACTTTTTTCCATGTAAAGACTTTAAAAAAAACAGGACAAAAATAGAAATATAAACCTGGAGTTAAAATCTAGTCTGACCCTGGGGTTGGACCACAGTCCTGAACATCATACAGTATGTCTGAGCTGTCTTTCTTCCTGACAGACCTGCAGACCCCGAGGTGTTGGAGAACCTGTCATCACAGAACAGTCTCAAGTCCATCCAGTCTTCAGAACCATCCCAAGGTCTGCACTCACACTCAAGTACACTTGAATATAAGAAGACAGAACCAGAACCATGTCCCGAGACATCTTAAAACCACCGGGTCCTGGACCAGTACTGGTCTGTGGATTATTTGGTTCTGGATCCTGTCTTAGTTACAAAGCCCTGTTGAACTTTAGCAGTTCTTAACTATTCTGGATCTAGAATCAAACCTTCACAGACCTGTGACCTTGATGATCTTTTTTCTACTGTTCCTTTGATTCCAGACTTATTGGTTACATTAATAATGAACTCTTTTTTACTTTTATTGAATTTCCTCACTCGTCCCTGTCTTCCAGACTCAGGATCCCCCGTGTCCTCATCTTCCTACACTCCCGTCTCTCGTAGAGAGCGACAAAGGAACGGCGAGCGTCAACGAGCCCACAGTACGTCCACATTGGCGGCCTCTGTGGGTCTGCCCTGCCCCTGGGATCAGGATGGAGCGGTCTCTGAGTGGCAGTCTAGTGAGAGGTTAAGTCTGGCCAACATGGACGCCATCACCTTTCCTGAAACCCCTCAGAGCAGCATCAGTGATAGGACAAGTTCTCAGGTCATCGATGAAACCCCGTCAGCAGGCAGACAGACGTGGCGCAGGCTGAGTGAAGCTGGCGTTTTAGAAGAGACAGAAAAAGACGTACACCGTGGACGAGCTTACAGTTTAGAAACCAGACGATTGAACACTTCAGAAGTCAACAACATTTGTCCAGTTGTCCCAAAATCTCCTCCCAACATGGACGTTTCTGTTCCACCACACAGTAGGGACGAGGAGAAGAGTGAATCATCTCCTTCCCTGTCTCTTCCATCCTTCCGTCACCTGTCCTCACTCAGGATCTCTGAGTCCAGCCTCTTTGGCTCCAGTGAGCAGCAGCAGCCGCTGGAGACGTCCACAGCTCGGTCTCAGCAGGACTTTGATGAGGTCTTCCTCCAAAGTCCTCCACCACCTTCACCTCCTCCACCAATCAAAGAGACTTGCATCATTGAGGACTTTCCTCCTCCTCCTGCTTCTCCTCCTCCTCCACCTCCTCTTCTTGAGATGGATGAAGAACATAGATACTCCTCCAGAGAAAGGTCTGTTGTCTACGTTCTAACATTCCATTTGACTGTAATGATGACCTCAATTCATTCCTGGTTCTTTGTCTTGTGTTCAGTCCGAGCTCAGAACTCTCCAACTCCAGTGTTCCTGCACCAGGATCCTTTCTCCCTTTTCCTCCCCTTCCCTCTCTCTTTTTCCCTTCTTCTCCTCCTCCCCCTCCTTCTCCTTCTTTTCATCCTCCTCCTCCTCCTCCTCCTCGTACACTCTCCACCATCAACACCTACACCACTGCTGAGGAGAGTCTATGTCTTGAGTACCAGCCATTTCCTAAACAAGAGAAGAAACCTGAGGAGCTGCGGATGGAGGAGCTGGCCCAGAAACTGGTGAAAATTAGTTCTTTACCTCAGTTCTCATATGTTTTTTTGTGCTGCATATTAATCTATTTTTATTGATTATTGTTATTATTAAAAAGCATTTTTTTTACTAACAAATTCAAGAGTAAAAATCCTTTGTTACTGTACAATACAATAATCGTTGCTCTGATTTACTTAACGTTTTAACGTGTAAATATTGCATTCAACTTCCCAGCTTAGTATTTTGTCATTCCTGGGCCCTGATGTTAAAGGGTAGCTCTCTGCTGCCCCTACTGGACACATGGAGCACAGTAGTCGACTTAGTGCTGTGTCTATGTACTGCATTTCAGTAATACTTCAAAGTACTCTAAGAATAAAAAAATCTACTTTGTAGTAGTTACAAAAATATCATGCATCTTCAGAAAGAGACTTTAAAATAATACTCATAGATCAAAAAGAATTCAGAGTGCAATACAATAACTGCGGTGATTTATAAACAAATGTGTTAATAGATAAAAACTTTTTTTTCACCCTTTTTTTTGTCTTTTATTGTAGGTGGTAAAGGACGGCTCTCTGGCACCCCTACTGGACACATGGGGCAGTAAATCCACAGTAGATCTTATGACAGAAATCTTTCCTCACAGTAGATCAACTGATTTATCATCATGGCAGCACATGAGCAGTGGGCAACTTGGTCACAGGTAAATTCATTCATTATTTTATTATTATAAGTGGGTTTTTGTTTTACACCAACATTTGTCACCAATCTGCTCCTGGCAGACGCTCAGCATCTTATCTTCTAAAAACAGTGGAGAAAAACAACAGCCAACCCCTGCTGTCTCCACATGTTGTCCTTTAGACTCAGCAACAACAGTGTGAGAAAAACAGGAAAAGATTGTTTCCTCAGGAAAACAAAGCATCCCTCGGTGAAGGTACAGAGACAATGTCCTTCAGTCAGACAGTTCTTTTTCCACACATGAATGTAACATTGTCCTGCTCTGACTCAGTAACACTTCCAGTGCTGGCTGAACGCTATGTACCAGCTGCTGCCAGTTGTTTCAGATTTGGTTTCAAACCAGATTTGCAGATAAAAGTGATTGACAGATTGAGTCAGGACAGGAAGAACCAGACCAACTTGATAATCTGTCCTCCGTTCTAAAGACACTGTGGAACTGGGAACGGTTCTACTCCTACATGTGGTGGGGGGTTCAGCTCATAGAGAAAACACGTTTTCCTTTTCTGACGCTGTGGTTTTACAGCAAAAAGAAGAAAGAAAATTTTTCAATCAAGTCAGTTAGAATCATTTTAGTGTTTATACAAAAGACACGTGGTTCTCTGGGGATTATGCAGTCAAACACTGACACCTTGTGGCCAGATTAGGGATAACATAAATGTCAGTCCGTTTTGTTGAGGGAACACGAAGTAGTAAAGTGACGTCTCTGTTCCGCCAGGATCCGGGATGTTCTCTGTGATTCCGGTGAAAAGATGGAGGAGAAGACAGACATCAACAGCCTGAAGGTACGAACAAGACATTTTTTAGGGATCTTAATTTCCTTTAAACTAATTGTGAAAAAACCCCTTCATTTTTAGCTTCTGTATTTTTCTTTTAATTTCTCCTAAAGAAGCATGGGTCAGGATTGAAACCATCACTCCTACAATAACAAGCTCTGTTCCTTATATGATAGGCCACAGGCTGCCTTTATGTTTAGGTTCATTTGTTTAATATTATTTATAATTCATGGTCTTTAAAAAATAAAAAGGGGGTCAAAGGGTGAACGTCTGGGATTGGTTCCAGCTGCCCGCCCACCCTCCCTCCACCACAATCATGTAAATCGGAAGTTAACTTTAATATGAACAAATCAGCACTAAAACTGCTAATGATGAACTTTTCTTCCTATCCTCCAGGTGGAGCTGTGTGAGGCTCTGAGCAGCAGTGTGGAGGCCCTACAGAAGGAGAAGGAGCAGCTGAGTGAGGAGCAGAGACGTCACCAGGTGCTGGGCTCTAACATTGAAGCTCTGGTCCAGGATCAGCTGAGGTCCAACGAGAGGGAGAAGTACAGCATGTTCATCGGTACAACAGCTGACTGTTACTCAAACCTAACATGAAGATAAAACATTAATAATAATAATCATTACAAATACCACAGCCACAGTAGAGCCGGGGTCTCCAACGTTTTTGAAACTGAGAGCTACTTCAACGGCACATGGTAATACGAAGAACTTGTTTGATACAGACTTCCTGAACAATGTAATAATAATCAGTTCTGGGACATACAGTAGTAGACACTCTTCTTACCATCGTCATTGGACACTCTGGAATATTATTGTAGGTGGAACTGAAGCAACAGTACAGTTTTGACCCTCTTGTTGACTAGGTTTATTTTAAGAACATACCCCACTGGCACCACGTTGGTGACCCCTGCAGTAGAGAGTACTCATGCATGAGTGTGGAAAGATGGAAGACTGGTCTGTGTCTGGATCATTTTTACTGATATGACTCATTGTGGCTCAAACTAAGGTGTCGTCTGAAACCATCAGCTGCGCTGTGGAACTGAAGCATGTTGTTTCTCTGCAGGAGACCTGGAGAAAATCGTGAACCTGCTTCTGTCTCTGTGCAGCCGATTGTCAAGGATCAACAGGTCTTTGATGGTTTTGGAGAAGGAGGAGCTGACAGAGGAGGAGGCCATGGAGGAGAAGGTGAGGCACAGTGGTTCCAATTAGATCTGGTTCTGAGACCAGTCCAGAGTGATCTGATCACAAAGCAACGCTCTGTGAGAGTAGGTCGTCACACTGTGACAGTGTTCAGAGCTTATCAGTCCATTAATGTTCACTGGACCAGATTATATTACACTCTCATCAACCACACATTGTACTCAGCCATCAAACATTAACTCCACCAGACTCACCAGACTCAAACCAGCCACACACTGGTAATCAAATCAAACAGAAGAACAACCCACCTCCTGGACCTCCTCATTAGGAGGAACCCTCCTGGCCCAAAGTTTTCAAACATTTTCATGAATTTTTGTTATAACAGTTTTTGTTTGTTATATGCTCTAAATTATTTTAATTCAGCCAGGCTGTAGTACTGCAAATCTGCCATTAGTAGTGCTGAAGAACCACGTTTAAAAAAGGTAAAAAGGTTTCAAGTGTTGATGCTGATTAAATATTTACTTCTGTATGATCACATGACTCAGTTTCATGTTTATCAGATCTTCCTGCATTAGAGCCCAATCTAATCTCAATCAGTTTTCTAAACTACTTTGAGATTAAAAAGTAACACTGTATGTGTGCAGCCTGTCGACTCGCAGGAACAAACAACAAACTAGGAAGGAAACAGGATCATTACACAAAACTGAAACAAAATATTTATTATAATAGTTTACATACAAATGGAAATGCTCTGTATGACCAAGCTAACAGCACACAGTGCAGTTAGACATGTATTGTTTTTTTGCCACTGTCCAATCAGCTACTGGATACCTATGGAAGCCAATTGAACCTGGGCTTCAACATGTGCTCCACTGCTACAGGAATCTCTTCCAACTTGTGTTTTCAATCCAGTCGGACTCACACGTGCTCACTTGGAGACTTTGATGTGCTTTGTCTCCTTTTTAGAAATCTCTCCTCCGTAAACAATCCCTGATCCTCCGTCAAACCGAAGACGCCTGGGAGCTGAAGGAGAACCTGGACCGAAGGCAACGAGTGGTCCAGACCATCCTGGCCGGCTACCTCACCGAACAACAGCTACGGGATTACCGTCGCTATGTCAGCACCAAACCCTCCCTTCTAATTCGCCGGCGCCACCTGGAGGACCTATCGAAGCAGTGGGAGGAGCAGTTGAAACAACTGGTGGAGAGTCTTCCAGCAGATGTGCTGGAGGCTCAGGGCTGGTCCAGGACCAGTTCGTTTACGTGGTCAAACTCCACCAGCACCACCTGTTCTTCTTCACTTCCACTGCTGCTCCCCCAGCCTGTAGTTGCAGGCCCCGCCCACTCTATCAGGTCCACCACTGTGACATCACTGTGATGTCACTAACGCAGGTCTTACTGAAGGATGAGAAATGATTTAGAGACGATTGGCTATAAAATTAAAAAAGTGGATCAGCCTCAGTTCAAACTATGCAGGAAGTAAGGGACTTCAATGTGCCTCCATGTTGTCATCATCACCACACTGTTTGACATCAGCACCCAGTGCTGAGTGGAGTCAAACTGCTGTCAAAGATTCAGCTCTGGACTACATGGTTTTATTACTTTTCTCAATGATTTCAAGAGAGTTTGTCCTGAAACACTTTAAAGCTCCAGTGTGTACCAACCAAAAAGGTTCCTTTTTTTAAAAATGTGACTGTAAATAAACCATCTGTAGCCTTACCAGCTAAGGACCAGTTCATGGTCATTTGCCACATCTTTCTGAATTTAATCTTAAAAATCTCAAAAATAATAAGAGTTGCACTTTAATTCTGACCTCAAATAATGAGAAGTCAAAGTTTTGTTGTGACTCCAGTTCTGAGAGTGTCTCCTCTGAAGGACATTGTCACCACTGGATTACCTGGTAATGGAAGGAGGACCTGTAAAATGGTAGAAATGCTTTAACATATGCCAGAATGATCTTCTAACAAACCTGCTGAAGCTTTTAGGAACTCCAAACATCCAGACACTCCCACAGAAACTATTTCAGATGTGAAAATGAGCCATTGCTCATAAACATGTCAGTGTCATCAGAACATGTCACCAATCAAAGTTGTTAAAATCTGAAAAACAGCAGTGACATCATTTTCTTGACACTTTGCTCTTCACTGCATGGTTTGTTTTTGTAAAATAGAAAACTGTCATTTTCCTGATCCATGATCCCATTTAGAGGAAACACTCCCGTATCTATCATCAGTGTACATGCTGAAGTGTTCTTGTGTTGCAGTTTTCACCCTCATCAACGAGTGTCACAAATTCTTACACACTGGACCTTTAAAATGACTTCAAACAGATGGTACAGATCTTTTTTTTTATCTCTGTTTTGCCCTAACACAGCGAGATGAGTATTTATTGAAGTAATCGAGTCGGTGCTTGGATGAAGTAGTTTCAATAATCAATTGTCCAACTTATAAAAGTAACATTGCACTGCTTTGCTCTTTGTTTTTCAACTGTTAAGTCACTGTCTTTAAAGTACTTTCTAATAGCAGAACACAGTACTGTTTTTATTTCCCTGTCGTTTTAGCACAGTTTTGCTCAATGACGTCTCTAGTTGCCAGTAAAGGTCAGGTTCATACACTGTAGGTCAGGGTTAGCAGCTCTTTTTCACAGTTGTCTTCACAGGGTCAATATTTATTTTTGACATTTTCCAGTTCCTTTCACTACTTTTCACCTGGCGAGCACTTTCTGAGATGTTGTGCAGAGATCACAGCTCGGTTCCTGCTTCAGTAACCTTTTTATTCCACTTCTGGTCATTGTTTGTTGTTGTCAGAAACACAAACACACAACTCTCAGACATTTCCTGGTTTATAGTTAAGAAATAAAAAAATCTTGTGCATGCTTTGAAGACGAGGGGAAGAAAAAGGTGATTAAACACTGCTCTGTATTTTTATTTCAAAATAAATTTATTTTGTAAATGCTTTCAGACCCTGCTGTTCTCACTTTCTGTCATACATCAGATCCACGTTCACTGCCTTGAATCTGTATTTGTGAAAATGACTGATGTTTTTCTGTGCAAACACAGTACAGTGTCATGTGATTCCACCCTGCTGTTGAAACACCACCTGACAAACTGGACGGACATTTGAACAGTGTGATGTTGTCATGTCTATTACAAACATTACAGCCTCAGATGCACCAGTATGTAGAGAAAAACATAGGTTTTCAGAGGGTTGGTTAGACCAAGCATGGGCAAACTAAGATTCAGCTTTTTAATCTGGCCCGCCAAGCATTTCCAAATTATATAATTTATTTATATTTTCATTTGTTTTAGTTCACACAAATGCTACATCTATCTGCTCCCTGTATAAAAGTCTTTATTTCTGTAGATAGCAAATCTGCTCCATGGTTCAGTCTGCTCTCTTCTTCAGTGGTGTTTCCCCTCAGAGAGTTCTTTCTTTTAGAATTCTGGAGATTGAACTTTGACACCAAGTCACATCCTGTTTCTTTGTATTTGGGGAAAAGAAAAAAATTCTACCTGTTGTTGGACAGGTTTCCATTCAAGTTTGGTTTGAAACGTTATGTTTGCTCTGATTTATATGTATATCATTTTCCCACCTGTTATTTCTTTATTGGTAATTTTTCCTCAAAACGTTTTTAAAGAGTAAAATGTCCATTAGAGTAAAATGTACTTGTTAAGTTGGGGCAAACAAATATTGGTAAGTTGGTAGGTGGGTACAAAGGTTGGTTGATTGGTTAATACCCAGATCATTTTTGTAAATAAATAGATCATTCGGTTTTCGTATATCATAGGTCTGTAGTTATTACCATGGGTTAGTAGATGAGTTCATAAGTATATGTTTGTAAGTTGGTCGCTTTTTTTTTATTGTAGCTAACAAGGTTTTTTTTCATTGTATTTTTCGTTATTAGTCCCAACGTAAAGAAAGCTAATGCTTAATGTATGCAAATGAGTGTGCTGACGTCATGCCCAAACATCCTGCTCTTCTGAAGGAATGTAGCCCGTGTCAGGTGAGCGGCGGTGGGCGGGGCTTCAGTCCAGTCTGACAGACCTTTGAAACCAAGCGGAGGCGGAGGAGCAGCAGAGGCGGAGGTGCAACGGCGGAATGGCCGTAGACCTCAGCCAACAGGCCGTGTTAGGCTTCCTCCGGAGCCACGGAGGCTCCGTCAAAAACTCCGAGCTGCTGCTGCACTTTAGCCGCTTCATCCGGAACAATGAGGACCGAGACAGAAACCGAGACATCTTTAAAAAGTTCGTCAACACCGTGGCCACGGTCCGACAGGAGGACGGAGTCTCCTACGTCGTTCTCAGGAAGAAGTTCAGGGTTTCGATCCAGAGTGGAGGAGATGCAGGAGGAGTTTCGACTGGACCACCTCGGTCTCCTGCCGGGAGGAGCTCTGACCTGTGCCCGGAGAAGAGAAACCAAACAGCGGTTAAGGGGAGCAGGGATACTCGCAGAGAAACCCCAGACCAGTTGGTAAGGTTGTATGCAGGCGAGTAGTTATGTTGTTGGTTTATAGGTTAGTTGGTAGTAGGATAACAGGTAGTTGAGTTGTTTACAGTGGGTTTGTGAACTGGTAATTAGTCTGTTTGGAGGTACTTTGTACTTTGTTCTGTACGTAGGTAAAACGTTTACACTAGAGTGAATAAAATAAAAAAATAAAATAAAAAAACAAGACTACACTGAGGTAAACCTGAAGTCCTGTAGTTAGTTCAGTTAGATACCAAGTAGGCCAGTGGTTAGTTAACGTAGCTAGTTTAGCAGGTAGTTTACTTGGTCTGGTTGCCGCCATCTGACCAATGACACACCTGCAGTAAAAACACTTCCTTTGTTCTGTTTTCTGCACAGGCATCAACATTAGTACCAGTACCAGTACCAGCAGGAGAACCCCCCAGCACCACGGTCCTTCCTGCAGCTGGCATTATCGCCAGCAACAACAACAACAGCGTGGGGATGGTGGAGGTTGGTGGTGGACCTGCAGCTGTGGTGGCTCCAAAGGCCGTGGTGCCACAGGAGGTTCCTCGGACCTTTGAGCATCCTGTCCAGCGGGAATGGTCCATGGTGGGACAGCAAAGTCTGTCTTTTGGTTCACTTCCTGAGACCACAGTGGAGCTTCCTGTAGTCAGACACCGTGAAGGAACCAGAAAGCGGCAAAATCCTCAAGTTCTGGTACCTGGGACCCAGCTGACCAGGGTGGCTGGAATTCCTGGTCAGGAACCTTCTCAACAGAACACGCCTACTGGTCCTAAAGTTTCTCCTAGAGGGTTCAAATACAGACAGAGTTATAAAAGTGCAGTTTTTCAGGACGATGAGGAGGAGGAGGAGGAGGAGGAGCAAGAACAGGAGGCCACACTGAGGCGAGGTTCTGCAGAAGGAGTCTGGTTTTCCAGGGTTCCTTTGGAAGACACAAGAAGAACCATGTCTGCCTCCTCATCATGCATCTCTGAATCTCCTGCTCCTCCCTCTGTGGCCTCCTCTTCTTTCTCCTCTTCATCAGAGAAGACACTTCCAACAATCTACATTCAGAACGTGGAAGAAGAAGAAGAAGAAGAAGAAGAAACACTGCGCCTGCGTGCACCAGAGACTAGTTCAGAGTCGGGTTTAGATGTGGGTCAGACATACACGTCAGAGGAGTCAACAATGTCCAGCAGGCGGAGGCGTCCTTCAGACATTGATCACCATTCTCCATCTCCTCATAAAGCCAACAAAGAGCTGTTGTTACACCATGATGTCCACCAGGGGCATCAATGCCCACAGGCTTCAGATTCTGGATCCAGGATGACAAGGTTGTCCTCCAGCCACAGCAGCATCTTTTCACCTCCGTCTTCTTCTGATGGAGGTTTCTCTAGCTGCAACTGGCCTTTATCTGGCTCCTCTAGAGGATCAGTGTGGAACAGCAGCTGTGAGGACCTGCAGGTGCCACCAGGTACAGATTCCACCAGTAGTTGATGAGTCTGATGACATCACATGATTTTCTCTGTTTAACCTCATAAACAGTTCATAAACAACTCTCCAACAGACCAAAGTCCATAGAGAAATTTGATGATTTCAGCTCCCATGTGTCACAGGAGCTGCTCATTCACTGCTGCCTTTAAAAAGAGGGGTCAACATTTAACCAATAATTTTGATAATTAATAACAAATTAAGCGATCATTTAAAAAATAAAACATTTTAACACACCTTTCTAAGTTCCATAAATTCTGCCACACTGATCCACAAACTCCAGTCCGTAGGTGGCAGTAATGCCTCCAATGTTTGAAGTGGATGAACAGTAAGCAATGTTTGATGACAGCGCAGTTTTGTGTTAATTATTCAGCAAAGTTTTTTTATTATTATTACTGCAGTACTTTAAGCCTCTTGTCGTGACATGTCACTGTTAAAAGAGTTTTTTTTTCAGATTTTCATCAATGACATAAACTGACCACAAGAGGCAGCAGAGTACCAGCAGCTACTGAGACGCTGAGCTTAAAATTCATTGTTTCTTTTTTTGCATCGCCACCAGGTGGAAGTAAAGTCCTGGATGTTCTGCAGCGATCTCAGAGAACCAAGTCTGCCACAGACCTGGACCGAGCCGAAACCTTGACAAATGCCTTTCAACACAACCAGAATGTTGCAGCTCACAGTACATCAGTGGACTGTCTCCACGACAACCAAGACACAGGACGGTGTGTGTCTCCATGGCGATGCTCGACTGGTCAGTATTTTGATTAACTTTTACTGCTTCATGTTTTTAAGTTTCATTGGCTTTTTGCTCAGAAAATATTTCTTCGCGTTCCTCGGTAAGTTGTTCCAGCCGATGATAACAAACCACGGCTCCAGAATTTGATCGTAGATGCAGCCACATTTTTTTTATCTACTCCTACTTTATCTAAGTCACACTGGTGCATTTGACGCTGCCCGGGTGAAAATATGGATTTATTTTGTAAGTGCATCACGTCTCTATGTTCTCCTGTTATGCCCCGTTAGATTTGTACCAATAGCTATGGTTCAAGGTTGACATCTATGCAAATAATTTCTCCAAATTGTTTTTTCCAATATTAAGTACAAATGCAATAAACTGCCTAATAATATGTAACTAAGACCCTTTTAAAATTAAAAATGTACTGTAAGTTACTGCAAATAATTTCCCAAAAAAAAAGTCTTAAAAATTTAAATGTTTCCAAAAATGAATGCAAATACTCTAAGTTGCCAAAACAGGAATACACACGAATATTAGTCTATATATTCTTGTTATTAAATCATTCACATTATATGAAAGTTACGGAGCACGATAAGAAGGTGACGTCATGATTTTGAAAAAGTGACAATAAAAAATTTGGGTGCACCGAAATATTATGCTGGTGTACCTGGAAAAAGAAAGTTGGACGCTCCAGTGCAACCAATGCAAAGAGTTAGTTTGGAGCCTGAGAACCTGTCTTAGCTTCTCTTTGAACGTGGATGATCTGTGATGGACTTGTTAGAACACGAGTGAAGGAGTTGTCTTTTTTCTACACGTCCTGTCAGACCTGTTCCTGCAGCTCGTGTGTTTTTTCTGTCACTCATAAATACTGCTGTGTCTCTTCGTTGGTTTGCTGCTGTGAAACACACAGTTACAGGAGGGAAAGTGGACACAGTGGACACAGTGGACACAGATGCACCCCCTCCTCACCTGGACCCACAGTCACACACACTACACACATCCTCTCTGAGAATCAAACCCTTTCCTTTTTCTCAAAGGTGAAGTCAACGTCGACCATGAGGAGGTGGAGTCCAGTGAGGGTTCAGCACAGCAGCGCACCCTGGTGGTCCGGCGTCTCAACAGTCAGCTGAGGAGCAGAATGTGTGTCAGTTTGGGTGCAGATTTGGACCAGCTTCTGCAGGAGGAGGCCAGAGCAGGGGTAGGAGGTAGTGAAGCGGCTCGTCTCAACCGCCTCCACCTCCTCTCCTCCTCACTGAGCCTTCGTTACAACCTCTCCTCCTCGTCTCTATCGTCCTGCTCCACGCCACCACGCTGCCAAAGCCTTGGAAGTTTGGTGGAGGGGGTTGACCGGGGAGGAGGAAAAGAAGGTGGAGGAGCTAGGCTACCTGCTGCCAACACGACTGCCCAGGAGCAGGAGGGCTGTAGAAAGGTCAGACATCTGAGAGACCAGAGCCCATGTCAGTAAAACAGGGCTGCAGGTTAATAAGCTAAAGTCAAACTCCCATCAAATGAACTGCTCTGTCTGACAATAACAGTCACTCTCCTACACCAAAGTCCAGTTTCACATCAAGTGACAGAGCAGTTGTTGATTCACAGCTGCCTCCGTCACTCAGTTCAAATGTGATGTTTTTCGAACTGATTTGTGTTAAAGCAGTTGTTTTATTACAACTTTAATCATATTTTGCCTTTTAAACTTCACTTCTGAATTTCTTTCTGTTTTGCTTCTTTGTCAGTCACTGGTTCCTCTGGAGCCCAAAGAACACATGTGGTTGGTTAAGGCAGCTGCAGGGGCGTGGCCTGACATCTACTCCTTGTTCAGAGAAGAGCCGTCACTTCTCAACAAGCATGACTTCATCTCAGGGTTCACAGTGCTGCACTGGATCGCTAAACACGGAGACCACAGAGTCCTCAACACCTTATGGTACTGTGTCATCAAAATCAAAAAGTGGCATCAAAACCAGGCTCAGTGCTGCCTCTAGTGGTCAATTTGTGTTACTGCTGTACACGTGAACACACTCAGGTACTTGGAGACTGAGGCAGCAGTGCATCGATCACTGGAGGGTGCTGTGACTAAGTTTGGTGTGGGATAGCAGACTTTTGTCTTTTTTCTGGTTGCAGGTACGGAGTCCAGAAGGAGGGAATGATGTTTGATGTTAACTCCAGGTCGACGTGTGGCCACACTGCGCTCCACATCGCTGCCATCCACGGACACAAGAACATCATCAGACTGCTGGTCAACAAGTTCAAGGCTGACGTCCGGCTGCGGGACGTGGCAGGAAAGAAGCCGTGGCAGTACCTGAGTGTGCCTATGTCACCGGACGTCTTTCAACTGCTGGGAGCTCCGGCGAGGGCAGCACTGGGCGCAGCCAAGAGGATGGACAGCAGCAGCAGCAGCTGGGACCAGCAGCAGGATCACAGGCGACCACGAAGACGACATCATTTCTCTACAGCGTCGTCAGGACAAAGACCACTGACAGTAGCAGACCCCATCCGAGTAAAGAGGTCATCGTCCATCGCTGCTTTACTCAAACACAAGTCTCTGAGACGTTTTCACATCCACATGTCGGACTCCTCCGTCTGAAAACAAACCCAGGGATTAAATGGTTCCAGCTGAGTAAGGCACTTTTACAAAAGTATTTTATCTTCATCGAAAACATAAACTACAGGGGGTGCTGTTGGTTTAAAGGCACTGCACAAACTTTCTAAATGTTTTCACACTTGGTGTTAAAATACAGCACAGCAGGGGGCACTAGAGAGCCACTCGTCACTAAAAGACATTTATTCACTTTTTTGTTGTTGACTTTTTCTTCCTTCACCAACATCTGTCACCATTTTGTTAACGTGTAGCAAATTTTCTTTATTGCTAACCCATTAGCTTATCACTTTGCTATTCTCTTTGTATTTGTGTTACATTTTTGGCCAACTTCCACTTATCTTTTGGCTACCTTGGCTATCTTATTTGCTAACATGTAGCTATGATGCTATTAGATAACTACAGTATATGACTGTTAGATTTCTGAATGAAAACACCTTTTTTCATAAACTTGCGATTTTCTTTGTCTTTGGATGTTTTAGTTTTTTTAATATATTGGCTAACATTTTTTCACAACCTAACAATAAAAAAAAAAAATCTTTTTTATTTCTGGCTCAATAGAAATCACACAATTCTAGCTTAATGTACTGATGAGTTTGTTTTTTCATTTTAGCTTGTTTTGTTTTGTTTTTTTGGCCCATTGTCATCAAGTTTATTTTTGAAAACCTAGGTCATAATTATGTTTTTTGGGTCTTTTTTGCTAAAACAATCATCTCCTATGCCAATTTTGTTTTATATATGTCATGGCTAACTTTAATATATCTTGTGGTGGACTATATCTAGCTACCTGTGCAACATTAAGTTACTTCCCTTTTATACATTTGCTTATTTTTTGTCCAACTTTTGACTCAGTTTTGGTTTTGTGGCTTTCACCGACTTGTGAAGATACGTCCAGATATGATTGTAAAGATAAGTCCAGTTGGACATTTCACTCTTAGGTTTGGGTAAATTCAACTCCAGGTTTTACAGGGTTCATTTCAAGGACTCAGTCCGGTCTGTTAAGATCATCATCCTGGACTCTCACTTATTACAGTGGCTTAAAAAGTCAACCAGAACTCATTGTTAAAGGAAAAAAAATATCTTTTCATTTTTGCATTTATTTTAAAAGATATATAAAATAAATATAAAAAATATTTCATATTGAGTTGAACAACAGACAAGGACATTAGTTACTGTTATTCTCCAGTGTGTTTCCTGTCTCTGACTCTGACTCAGCATCAACACTGTGAGTCTTCACTACAGCAAACAAAAAGGGATAAAACACTGACTTCACTTTTGTCTTACGTCAGTCAGTCGGTCCAAGATGGACAAAAACCGACATAGTTTCAGTCTTTCTTGAATAAAAGGTCGCTGCTGTGTGACATTGCTGTGAAACTAAATGGAGAAGAAAAAAAAAACAAAGTGAAAGATTTCCCACTTCAATACTTCAAAACCCTTACACTCTTCAAGTAAAACATTTTTACAGTTGATTTTTTTTTCTGGTGGAATTTTGATTTTTGTTATTATTTAAATTGTATTTAAAGTTATCCACAAACACTTTACAGTGTCTGTTAAAAAGAACTTTAACAATTTGTTCTAGCCAGACAAATTATCTTGTTATCAAGCTTTATCAAAAGAAATACAATAATCGTATAAATCACACAAATAAAATCCAATAGTCTTTAGGATAGAAGATATCCAAACAAAGTAATGTACAAAGCAACTTGTGTTTTTGTTCTAGTGTGTGAACCTGTTGTCTGTAGAATTGGTGCTAAAAAAAATCTAAATGGGTATTTCTGACCCAGATTATATGCTAAAATATTGACTCAAAACAGTAGGTAATGACTTTGTGTAACAAACAATGAAAATACATCAAACTGCACGTTTTGATGCACACTCTCCTGGACCTCATCATCCCACCACCAGGTCCCTTTGTCCACCTTTCTCTGCCCAGAGGACATACCTAGCACCTTCCTACCTGTCTCCCTAATCACTGCAGCTGTAGTCTCCCAATCATCTGGGAATTTCTCAACACGGCCCTGAACTGCCCCTACGTCCTTCATGAAGTCTTCACAACATGTC